AGTTTGCACCCTTTTTGTATGTAAAATAAAATGTCTTAACTTTCTTGGCTACTTCTCCTTGTTTGTTTGGTTGATTGGTTTGTCTGTTTTTAATTTCCCTTGGCTCATGTGTAATTAACAATCTAGTTGGGACCAATTTTGATGTGATTAAAGGCTCCTGTGAATGAAAATAAATGCCTGATAATTTGGCATTCTTGCTTCATTCCTTTGGATTAAACATTTCTCCACCTTCGAGTCACTTTAAAAATAAATATTGCTGTATCTTGTCAGGTGCTAATGAAAAAATAAATATTGGTCAGGCATTGATGGCTTATGCCTGTAGTCCCAGCACTCTGGGAGGCCGAGGCGAGTGGATCACTTGAGGTCAGGAGTTCGAAACCAGCCTGGCCAACACTGTCAAACCCTGGCTCTACTAAAAATACAAAAATCAGCCAGGCATGGTGGTGCACGCCTATAATCCAAGCTACTCAGGAGGCTGAGGCAGGAGAATTGCTTGAACCTGGGAGGCGGAGTTTGCAGTAAGCCGAGATGCCAAGATCTCACCACTGCACTCCAGCATGGGCAACAGAGCAAGACTCCGTGTCAAATAAATATTCCTGGAATAATTTGGACATTATCACGTTAGTACCTGTGTCCTTGTTGTTCTCAGGTGGTAGAACACAGGAAATCAGGATCTGCTTTGTGGAACAACTTTAGTAGCTTTACAATTCTGCTCTACAAATGAGGAACATGTGTCCAGACCCGACAGAACTTTGATGAGTAATGTGAAACCACACATGCATATGTAGGCAACAAAACAACTTGTCAATCTGGGCATGACTGACTCCTTCCAGTTTGTTACTACTCCTTAATTATTTTTTCACAGGCAAGTAGCAGCCAAAGAATCATGAGAGAAAAATTTCACATTGAGAGCCTTTTATCCATCAACCTGATTTTTTTCTTTTGAAAGTGGGAGTGGGAGAAAGGCTGCTGTAATGCTATTTTAGCCTTAGCTCCTCATGTGCAGGAAGCTACTTGGGTTTTTTGAGTGTTTCCTTGTTTTTGAGACAGGCTGGAGTGCAGTGGCATGATCACAGTACACTGTACACTACACAGGACACTGCAGCCTTGACCTCCTGGTGATCCTCCCACCTCAGCCTCTGGGGTAGCTGGGACTACAGATGTGCACCACCACACCCTGCTAATTTTTGTTTTTTGTAGAGACAGTTTTCACCATGTTGCCCAGGATCAAACTCCTGGACTCAGGCCATCTGCCTGCCACAGCCTGCTACGGGCTGGGATTACAGGTATGAGCCATTATGCCCGGCTGGAGGCTACTTTGAAAACATGATTTGGTAAACATTTTTCTCTGGCTGTGGCAGCCTGAGACCAGTGAATGAGGAAAGATGCTTAACAAAATAGGAAAAAAAAAAGGGGGGGGCGGGGATGAGAGATGGATTCCGAAGACATCTTTGTCAATATAACAATTTTTAAAACTTCCACCTGATTGAGGTTGTCTGAATTGAGATGCAAGGATGGGAAATAACAAGATAACTGTCTTGAAGGTCTGCAACGTGACTGTGTAAGGCCGCTGTAATGAAGGACAAAGTTGGCCAGGCGCGGTGGCTCACGCCTGTAATCCCAGCACTTTGGGAGGCCAAGGCGGGAGGATCTCAAGGTCAGGCGATCAAGACCGTCTTTGCTAACGTGGTGAAACCCCGTCTCTATTCCACATACAAAAAAAATTAGTGGGACGTGGTGACACGCCCCTGTAGTTCCAGCTTCTCAGGAGGCTGAGGGAGGAGAATCGCCTGAATCCGGGAGGCAGACGTTGCGGTGAGCCGAGATCGTGCCATTGCACTCCAGCCTGGCGACAGAGCAAGACTCTGTCTCAAAAATAAATAAATCAATAAATGACAAAGTTAATGCCAGTAGCCCTGCACAACTTCAGCCTCAGGTCAGCACCTCATGAAGACTACATGGCATAATTTATGGAAATGGAGCCCTGCCTACAATCTGTGCTGTGACGACCTGAAATTTCTACAAAGTCAATCTTTGAAAATTAGTTTTAAAGACGTTTTAACGCCATAGGTCCAAATTTTGGAAGCCTGTCTTTTGGTTTGTTTTGGTGTGTAAGAGTCCTAGTACCAAAGTATGTTGTAGAGTGGGACAACAAATGTGTTAAAACCAAAAATAGCGTTGTGGGAACTTCTAGTAACTAACCCTGACCTCTGGAAAAAAGGCACTGTGTCTTCAGGCCGTGGCATAAATTATTTCTCATGTCAGTGCGGATGTGAAGCTATTCCGCCCGGGACTTGGGCACACAGTACTGCAGGGCTGTGAGAGAGCCGTGGACAGAGTAAATGCCACACAGCCCCTTGCGCGGAAAAAGTCTATTGGGGAAATCAAATAGGTAAAGGAAGTTAAGAACAGCGTATACAATAAGGTGTGCATTGATTTATACATCGGCAAGCAGAGCCAGATTACAGAAGGGAGAGAAAAATGGGTAGTAACGTGATGGACTCAGCAAAAAGGAAAGGGGGCTGTGCAGCAAGTTTTGCAAGACAAGTGGTAGCAGCCGTACAAGGTCACGCTCGGGAAGGATAAATGCGCCTGGAGCGTTTGGAAGCTACCACGCTTACAGCCAATTTGGTGGTGACAGACGCTTGACTGGCCCAAAACAGGCAGTTACAGGCGTCCCGTACCCCTGTCCAGGTCCACGTATTTGCCATCCTCAAACGCCAGCGACCGCAGGCCAGCGGAACAGCGCTCTGGGCGGGGCGGGCCGGCCGCGGGGCATGCCGGGGCTTGTGGTCCTTTCGTAGCTACGGCCCGCGCTCGGCTGGGCCGCCTTCCGCCGGTGGCCTTCCTGTGAGTGGAAGAGGGCGGCCGGGAGCCCAATGAGGGAGCCATAACGTGGCAGCCACCCACGAGCCCGCGTCGGTGCCCGCCCTGCAGGAGGACCTACTATCCAGCACCGAGCCGGAGGGGGGAAACGGCGCCCGCCGCCCGCCCGGAGCCCGCGAGCAGCCCCAGTCCCCCCCGGCGCGCGTGGCGGCGCCGGCGTTCTAGCCTCCGCGGCCCCACCCTCTTCCGCCCTCGGCTGTCCGGGCCGCGTTCGCCTCCGCCTGTGGATGCTGCGCCTCTCCGAGCGCAACATGAAGGTGCTTCTTGCCGCCGCCCTCATCGCGGGCTCCGTCTTCTTCCTGCTGCTGCCGGGACCTTCTGCGGCCGATGAGAAGAAGAAGGGGCCCAAAGTCACCGTCAAGGTCCGGTGGCGTCCGCGGCATTTACGTTTCTGGAGCTCGGGCCCAGACGGCCTTGGCTTTGGCCTTGGCTCAGCCCCTTCTCCTTCGGCTTCTGTCTGTGGCCTCGTGTCGCCGGGGCCGTCCTGCCCATTCAGTCGGGAGAAGGACCCCGACCCACCCGACACCCCCAGCCCCAGCCGCGACCCCCTCAGTCCCTGCCCTGACCCAGGGAGTTAGTTGGGTCCCCGGATACCCATCTGGGCTGGCACTGGCAGCCTCAGAGCAGCCTTTTTGAAAACACCCCTCAGTGCTGGGGAGATGGTGAAAGATCACTCCTGCCAGATTCCGAATCATTTCTCTCTTTAAGCCAAATTTTAGCCACTTGCAATTACAGAACACAGTATGTATAGTTCAAACTTAAGTGGTGAACTTAGACCCCCTTTCTTATGGGGTTTTTAATGTTAATTTTTAGAATCTGGGTCGATTCGCTGTTTAGAGCAAATATTGTTATCCTGTAGTCCAAGAAGGTGTACATAATGGAGCTTTCATCAGATTCTCGTAGGATTTTTACCTTCGCCAAAATCAGATCCAAACCACTTCTCTAAAACTATGGCGCTATTCTCTCTCCCATCCTCAGGGCAGCTTCTTGTGCCTTCCCTCCCCCAGCAATGCCCCTTTAAAGAAGCTAAGTTGGAAATGGTCTCTTTTCTCAGGTGTATTTTGACCTACGAATTGGAGATGAAGATGTAGGCCGGGTGGTCTTTGGTCTCTTTGGAAAGACTGTTCCAAAAACAGTGGATAATTTTGTGGCCTTAGCTACAGGAGAGGTAAGTGGCTGGAGCAGGGGTAGTCAACTCAAACAAAGTGAAGTTGGCACTGGGGATGGCAGCAAACTGACCTGTAGAGGGCTGCCCATCTGTAGTGTGGCCCTCACTGAGCACCAACTGCCTGTTGCCCTGGGAACCCAGCATTGTCCTTTCTTAAGAGTGAGGGGGCCCTGACCCAGCACAGTGGCTCATAATTATAATTCCAGCACTTTGGGAGGCCAAGGCAGGAGGATTACTTGAGCCCAGGAGTTCAAAACCAGCCTGGGCAACATAGCAAGAGTGTCTCTACCCCCTCAAATTTTTTTTAATTAGCTCGGTGTGATGGGGACTACCTGTGGTCCCAGCTACAGCTACTTAGGAGGCTGAAGTGAAATGGAGGTTTCAGTGAGCCATGATCATGCAACTGTACTCCAACCTGGGCTAGAGTGAGCCCTTGTCTAAAATATATTTAACCTGGGCATGGTTATGCCTGTAATCCCAGCACTTTGGGACTTTGGGAGGCCAAGGTGGTGAAACCCCATCCCTACTAAAAATATAAAAATTAGCCGGACATGGTGGTACACACCTGTAATTCCTGCTACTCAAGAGGCTGAGGCAAAAGAATTGCTTGATCCAGGGGGGTGGAGGTTGCAGTGAGCTGAGATCATGCCCCTGCACTCCAGCTTGAGCAACAGAGTGGACCCTCTCACTAAAAAATTAAAGGCTGCATGCAGTAGCTCATGCCTGCAATCCCAGCACTTTGGGAGGCTGAGGTGGGTAGATCACCTGAGGTCAGGAATTTGAGACCAGCCTGGCCAACATGGTGAAATCACCTCTCTACTAAAAATACAAAAATTAGCCAGGCGTGGTGGCAGACACCTGTAATCCCAGCTACTCAGGAGGCTGAGGCAGGAGAATTGCTTGAACCCAGGAGGTGGAATTTTTGCTTGAATTGCGCCATTGCACTCCAGCCTGGGCTAGGATTGTGCCATTGCACTCCAGCCTGGGCAACAAGAGGGAAACTCCATCTCAAAAAAATAAATAAATAAAATAATAGGCTGGGTGCGGTGACTTACGCCTGTAATCCCAGCACTTTGGGAGGCTGAGGCGGGCAGATCACGAGGTCAGGTGTTCAATACCAGCCTGGCCAACATAATGAAACCCAGTCTCTACTAAAAATACAAAAATTAGCCAGGTGTGGTGGTGCATTCCTGTAGTCCCAGCTATTTGGGAGCTGAGGCAGGAGAATCACTTGAACCTGGGAGGCAGAGGTTGCAGTGAGCTGAGAACACGCCATTGCACTCCAGCCTGGGAGATGGAGTGAGACTGTCTTAAACAAACAAAAAAGCCTGGGCATGGTGGCTTATGCCTGTAATCCTAGCACTTTGGGGTGGGTAGATCATCTGAGTTCAGGAGTTCGAGACCAGCCTGGCCAACATGGTGAAACACCATCTCTACCAAAAATACAAAAACTAGCCGGGCATGGTGGTGCGTGCCTATAATCCCAGCTACTCGGGAGGCTGAGGTGGAGAATCGCTTAAACCCAGGAGGCGGAGGTTGCAGTGAGAGGATATGGTGCCATTTCCATATCTGTACGCACCATGCCTGTCCCGTGATGGCTGCTCGCTCACTCAGCAGCACATTCAACAGTGAAAGTGATCAGCTGGAGTGTCTCTTCTGCGAGCAGGAGTTGTGGACTTGTTCCTGCAGGGCCTGTTTAATGTCTTCCTGCTGCCCCATACCACCTCCTTACCTTCTCTTCCCTTTTTCTAGAAAGGATTTGGCTACAAAAATAGCAAATTCCATCGTGTAATCAAGGACTTCATGATCCAGGGCGGAGACTTCACCAGGGGAGATGGCACAGGAGGTAACCACAGGTCCTCTGGGCCAAGGAGTATGTCAATGTAGCCTCCATAGTGGGAGGGCCAGGCTCTGCTGGGGAGACAAGGCCTCTTTCTTCCCCAGCTCTAGAGGTAGGCCTACTTATTACCTACTTTGAGACCAGCAGCACCCTTCTTTGTAGAGAGAACCTAGTACAAAGGAGAGAGAATAATGGGGTGGACCTGATGGAAGACCTAAGAGACTCTCCTTGGTGGCCGACCTGCTGATCCAGGCCTATAGCCTGGTAACCCTTCCCGATATCTCTTTGGAATGGGGACTAGAGAGAGAGGTGTGAGGAAGCAAAATGAAGACATGTGGGTACACAGTTCTAGGTTAGACATGCAAAGCCTGTGCAGGCTACCCTGGAAGCCCCAGCAAGAGTGGGAGGGCCAGGCACAGTGACTAACGCCTGTAATCCCAGCACTTTGGGAGGCCAAGGTGGGTGGATCACTTGAGGCCTTGAGTTCAAGACTAGCCTGGTCAACATGTTGAAACCCTGTCTCTACTAAATATACAAAAAATTAGCCAGGTGTGGTGGCGGGTGCCTGTAATCCCAGTTACTCTGGAGGCTGAGGCAGAATTACTTGAATCTAGGAGGCGGAGGTTGCAGTGAGCCGAGATCACATCATTGCACTCCAGCCTGGGCGACAGAGCGAGACTCTCTCAAAAAGAAAAAAGAGTGGGAGCAGTTCCTTTCCTTGACAGTCTTCCTTCCTTCCTCCCTCCCTTCCTTTTTCAGAGTCTTGCTCTGTCACCCAGGCTGGAGTGCAGTGGTGTGACCTTGGCTCACTACAACATCTGCCCCTGGGGTTTAAGCGATTCCCCTGCCTCAGCCTCCTGAGTAGCTGGGATTACAGGCGCCCACCACCACACCTGGCTAATTTGTATTTTTAGTAGAGACAGGGTTTCACCATGTTGGCCAGGCTCTTCTTCAACCCCTGACCTCAGGTAATCCGCCCGCCTCAGCCTCCCAAAGTGCTAGAATTAGAGGCATGAGCCACTGTGCCTGGTCCAATCCTTGACAGTCTTTCACCAGAGACCACTCTGCTAGGGCTGACTCTCACCTCTGCATTAACTTGCACACAGAGGACAGAAAGACCCCCTGGACCCCTGCGTGAGTCTCACTGAGCTCAGGTGCAGCCAGCTGCTCCCTTAGAGCACAGCTCACTCCTCTGTGAGTGTCTGTGGGGCTCTGTGGTGGGGGTTGTGGATATAAAGACCCATGGGGCAGTGGCTCCCTTTTACTTCCAACAACTGAAAGTTGTACAAGTGGGCCATGATACAGTGTTTAGGACTCAGGCTCACAAAGGAGACCAAAGAACTGTATTTGTGGGTCAGACACAGCTGGGCTCAGTCCACCGTCTGCCACCTTCTTGCTTTGTGACCTCAGGAGAGTGAGTCCTTAGAGCTCCAGTCCTCTTCTGTCCAGTGAGACTGGAGAGAGTTGTGGGGCCGTGAGGATTAGACTAGCTCTGGAGTGTAATGTGCCTGGCATACTCTGAGTGCTTAGTAAGTCAGCCATTGTTGAAGTGCTGATAAGCAGAGGAATCCCCACAGGCCAGGGGGAATGGGCATGGGCTTGCGGACGTGAGGAAAGATTTCAGTGGGGTCCCGGATGAGGAGAATTTGAATGGGCAAAGAAGAGGCAGGGTTAGAGCAGGAGCCCAGTGCTGTTCTGTGGAAGGAGCTTGGCCAAAGGTGAGTTGAGGGCATCTGTACCCAGAGTAAAGAGAGGTGGGTCATGGCCTGCAGCCTGGGCTTTGGCTTGCAAGGAGTCGGGGCCACAGAGCTGAGTAAGAGGATGAGCCCTTGCTTGGAGTGCCAGGGGGGTCGCGTGGTGGCAGATCCAGGATGTGGTGACCAGGGCGGGCAGGCTACTAGGGGCACTGGTACAGCTGACCCTGGGCGGGGAGATTTGGGCCTGATCCCAAGGTAGCTGAGAGCAGAGATTAGAGGGCAGACCGCCTTGTTCTGAACTTTAGCTCTGCCGCTGCTTCGCTGGGGCTCCTTTTATTCTCTGGCCTCAGGTTCTTCATCTTTGTAGTCGAGTTAGCTCCTCCTCATAGGGTGGATTGTTAAATATGTAAGATGCTTGGAACAGTCTCTGGCACACACTGTTAGTGCCCTAAGCAGTCACCTACTGTAGCCGGGGTGGCGGGATTGGAAAGAAAGAGTGAGTACATGGGGGATAGGTAGGGACAAGCTGAGCCACGTGCAGAGGAACAGGGGTCAAAAGAATAACGGAGGTCAAAAGATGACGAGGTATGTTGAGTTTAAAGAGAAGTGTCCATTTGGGTTTGGAACTCCCGTATCTTGGGAGAGTGATTGGAGCTAAGGATGGAGATTTGGGGGTTTTCTGTACAACAACTGTAATCAAAATCCCACAGTTGGCTGAGATTTACTCAGAGGATTCTCAAATGGGGGAGGCTTTTAGCCAGCACCCCAGCCACGACTCACTGCACATGTGGCAGAGTCCAGTCTCCCAGGATGGGGGTGAGAGGTGGAACAAAGGCGGAAGCATCCCGTCCCCACCAGCCAGAGTCTGGTCATTCTTGGTTTTCAGTATTCCTACCTGCGGCCCAATCAGAACCATCTTCCTGGTTGGCATCGGTCTAGGACAGTTTCCCAGCCCAGTTCCATTTGGTGGAACCACAGAATGAAGGTAGGGGCACTGAGAAGGAAAAAGGGTTTTGCACACAAGTACATTTGAAAGGTGTTAGATAAAACAAATGAAAATGACCCGTTTTTTGCTGGGTTTCTTGGCCTTAATGCACAGTGCCCATCTCCAAGGGGTGACAGAAAAAGAAGGGTTTCAGTGTTTCTTCTGGAACCAGCTTTGGAACTAGAATCTCCGAAACGGCGTAGTGATCACCCCTGGCTGCCCTTGTCATAGCCCCAAGCCCCACGTGGAGAGACGCATCACACACACTCACAGCTGCCTTTTATTCCTGTTCATTCCTTGTTAAGAGACATTGACTTTCCAGAACCCAAGGAGCAGCCTCTCCCCACCCATCTCTGGCTGCTTTCTCCTCTGCAGCTATGCCTGTGTCTTTTGTACTCACAGGAAAACAGGCTGGCCAGCCACAGCAGTCCTCCTTTTTCTGGAGAGTTCAGACCGCATTGACTCCCCTGCATCCTGCAAAGCACCTCCCTCCACCACTTCAGTCCTTGCCCCGAATGTCTGCTTGGTTTGGCCCAATCCAGCTCCACCGACCTGCTCTTTTTTTCCAGGAAAGAGCATCTATGGTGAGCGCTTCCCTGATGAGAACTTCAAGCTGAAGCACTATGGGCCTGGCTGGGTGAGCATGGCCAACGCAGGCAAAGACACCAACGGCTCCCAGTTCTTTATCACTACAGTCAAGACAGCCTGGCTAGATGGCAAGCATGTGGTGTTCGGCAAAGTTCTAGAGGGCATGGTAAGTTCTGGAAGCAAGGGCTATACCTGGGCAGTCCTCACTGGGGATTCAACACAGGCCCTAGGGCAGGAGCTCCATGCATCCATCCCTCTCCCAAAAGGACCCAACCCACAGGTGTGGCCCAGGGCTCCTGTCCTGAGTAAACCCTGCAGCTCCATGCACCCAAGGTTCTCAATTCTTCCAGCCCCGCAGAGCCCCGCCAGGAAGGCTTGTTAAGGCTGCACAGCTGCCAGAGCCTCCCTCCCCTCATACACTCAGTGATGTGTGGGCCCCCCCCCGAGGCGTCCAGAGTGCAGCTGAACACGATGTCCCTGTGAAGCCACCTTCCCCGCTCACCCTCTTCCTCCTCCTCGCCCGTGGCCCAACATGGCTCTTACTTCAAAGGAACAAAACTCCTGCATGCCCTTATCAATCTGTGTTCTCCGTGCCCTGGCCTAGCGCCCTGGCCAGGAGTCTGTTAGAATTTTGGTGACTCCAGTTTTGTGTGCTGTTGATCACTTATGGGTCTCAGCCTTCCTGAGCCATGCGCTGGGGCCCTTCTCCCGAGCAGCAGACCTCCTGATCCACTGTGCCCTCCTGCTTCCACCTTTTCTTTCCAGGAGGTAGTACGGAAGGTGGAGAGCACCAAGACAGACAGCCGGGACAAACCCCTGAAGGATGTGATCATCGCAGACTGCGGCAAGATCGAGGTGGAGAAGCCCTTTGCCATTGCCAAGGAGTAGGGCCCAGGGACCTCTTCCTTTTAGTGACCATCTGTGCAGGCCCTGTTGCCCTCCAGGGGGTGAAGTTAATCTGCCACAGGGCTCTAAGCTGCACTGGCCCCGGTGCTGGCATCTGGTGGACCCACTCCCCTCACGCCCATGGACCCAGTTTTGTAACAAACTCCTGCCAACACTGACCAATTTAAAAAAATATATGTTTTTTTTTTTTTTTTTTTTTTTTTTTTTTTTTTTTTTTTTTTTTTTTTTTTTTTTTTTTTTTTTTTTTAACATGTGGGCCTGGTTCTTGAGTCTGCGGCGCCTCCCCCAAGCCTATACCCCAACAGGCCTGCCATTCTCCTGCAGCAGTGGGTGCCTGCCCCTTCCCTGGGATCCTGCCTGAAACTTTGACCCAGGAGCTACCCAGGAAAAGTCAGGCAGGAGCTTTTGCCCCCTGCTTCTAAACTTCGCCGGATACTAGGCCTCCACATTTGCCCCCCTCGCCACCACCTTCCAGTATATGTGAAGAAATATACCTGTACCTTTTCATAGCCTACCTCTAAATTGACTTTTTTTTTTTTTTTTTTTTGTAGAGACAGGTCTCACTATGTTGCACTGGCTGGTCTCAAACTCCCAGGCTCAAGCAATCCTCCTGCCTTGGCCTCCCAAAGTGTTGGGATTATAGGCGTGAGCCTCTGTGCGCTTATCTTTATTGCTTATCTTCTTGACCCTGCCTTGGCTCCTGCGCTCTAAGAACATGCAAATTCAACCACCTCCAGCCACCAGTGCAAGCCAAGTTCTGAGCCTTGAGTGGGATGTGGCACAGCTGGGCACTGGGTAGTTAAGTCCTGGGTTCAGACCAAGGGAGGACCTAGCCTTTTATGGAGTTGATAGGATGAAGGCATATGACTGTCCTAGGAGGTGGCTAGAGGCCTCTGGACTGATCAGGACGTAGGTGGCAGAGGAGCAGGGTGACAGGCATCGTTTGGCTGGGCTTTATCTGGGCTGATCCTGAAGCTGGAGAGGCCCTGGAGCACACCATCCACCACCACATTGGGCAGCGGCTCTGTGGGATAGAATTAACAGGTCTGGCCTCAGGCCTGCGGCTCCTTAAGGTCCTGTTCATGGGCTCAGCATCCCCCTACCACGCTGCCCTTGGAAGTAGGAGCCCCTGCCAAGGCAGCAGACAGCAGCTGTCCATCCCAAATGAAGCTTTGGCATTCCCAGGTCGCATTCTATTCACATCAGCTTGGTAAAGAAGTCAGGCTATGGAGGAAATGGAGACCAGGGAAGCCAAACTTGTTTTCCTTGTGTCTACACAGCATGCTCCAGGGGAAACAGGAGCAGAAGGTAATGGCCCCAGAGGAGGGCAGCAGGAAGGACATGCTACTTGGGGATCCAGGGAGTAGAACAATGCCAAGCCCACCTCCTGTAGCCCTGGATCTAGGCAGCTCACCTGGGGAGGGGGTGCACACATAGGGATCCACATGGAAGCCCAGGACAGGCCGCTGGTGCTGCTGGGAGCTGGGAGGAAAGAGGGTTATGAACCATGGGTGTGGGAGGCAGGGCAGAATCCCACAGGGGGATGGAGATGGGGTTGAGATCACCAAGGACCCACGAAGGAAAACCGTGAGTGAGAAATGGGCTCAGGAGGCACCAAGGGGAGGATAGACCACAGGGCCCAGGCCAGACAGGCCCAAGCAGCAGGCCGGCCTCCTAGCATATGGCCACTAGGGGGCGGCAGGGGCCAGGCACGGGTCAGGGCCTTGACTTGCCTGCTGTCACCAGGCAGGAACTCCCCCAGGGTGCTGAAGAGAAGAGAAACACTGTAAGCTGCCTGGGGATGCCCGGGGAAATGTGAGGAAGGGGTGGGGACACCAGAGCCCAGAACTGTACCTCCCAGGGGACCACTGCTTCTATTTGTAACAAGCACAGTTCCGGAGGTGGCTGGGGTAACCAAGGCTGGTGAGGGTGGTCATGTCAGGCTGGGGCCTGGCAGGTGCGAGAAGAAAGGGCTGGCCCTCCAACACCTTTCCTTACCTGCTCTCTGCTGACAGCCCCTGGCCCCCACCCCTAACCCCCCCTTACCCGAAGCTGCTAGCCTTTGGGTCTGTGGGGAAGTGCCGAAGTCTCAGGAATTCCAGTAACTCCTTGGGCACCTCCTGGTTCAGATACAGGATGCCCTGGAGAGGACAGAGAAGACCTGCAATCAGACCCAGCTACTAATTTGCATAGCCCAACGCGATGAAAATGCAGGGCTCTTTGTTCCAAAAAAAGAATTTCAAGACAATGACAGCAGAGCACTAAAACAAGCTCAGGGCTCTTGTGAGCACTGGGCCCTGTGTACACAGGTTGTACCCCACGAAGTGGCATAGCTTTGCTGTTGGGGGAAGGACACTCACCCTACATCCCATCAGGAGGGACCTCATCTTGGAGGGGACAGGACCTGCCTTTCATGGAGCTGGGACTACCTGTGTCTGTTACCTCATTCAGTCCTTTCAACACTCCAGAGAGGGATATTTGGACCTATATTACTTTTCAGAAAACGGATGCTTGAGGTGGTGAATGACATCCCCAAGTTGTGGGTTCCCTGCCTGCCATGCCCCCACACCTCTTTGTCTGGACCACATCCCTGGCACAGCAGGCTGCGACGACCAAGCGTGCCCTTGCATACCTGGATGTAGGCCTCCAAGCCCTGCCGGCGCTGTTCCAATCCTCTGGTCCTCCAGTTGGGCAGGCGTTTCGAGGGGAAGACGGGCACTCTGTACAGCTTCTTGATCTACTGAGGGTTTACCGCGTGCGATCACAGCATTCCGAGTGAGCCCTCAAGCCCTCCCGCGCCCCGCGCCCCCGCCTTCGGGCTCTACCCTGGGACATACCCTGATGAATGGTGGACGGGCCGTTGGCGAGGGAGGCCCCAAACCACCCGCAGACGCCCGGGAGGGTGGGCGCAGTGCCTCCCGGGGTGACCGGCCATACAGGGGCATGATCGGTGCGGGCCAGGATCTGCCCCCCTGCACCCTCCCCTCCTCAGACAGGGGCAGTCATGGGGGTGGCGGAGGCTGGGGCTGGAGCTCGCCCGCCCGCCTCACAGGGCCTGGGCAGGGGCTGGACAGAGGCTGGGCAGGGGTCGGTGGGGGGGTCGGCGCCGCCTCACCCGCTTGTGCAGCGCGTGGAACTCGCTGTAGCGCCTCGGCACCGTGTGTCTGCGTCCGCTGCACAGCACCTCTACTCGGAACACCTGGCGGCGCGGGCGGGCAGTGGGGGTGCGCGTGAGACCCAGCGGGAGGACGAAGCAGGACCCGCGCCCAGCGACTCGCCCACCCGCCCCGCGCTCAAAGGCACAAAGCGGCCTTGCGGCGCCGCGGTTCCCCGGGATGCTCCGCTCCCGCACACCTGGGAGAACCGGCTGGCGGTCCCGCCCCTCGGCGCCCTGTGGTCTCTCAAGAACCCAAACCACAGTCTGCGAGGGTGGCAAATCCAAGCGACCCCCAAACCCTCTACAAGGTGTCCTCCGACGGTCCGGTCCGCAGCGCCCGTTCACCCCGGCCCGGGCTCCGGGTCCCCACTGAGCGCAGCGCAGGGAAACCCAGCAGGTCCCAGCGCCCCTCCCCATCCAGGGGCCGCGCTCACCATGTGGCCTTTCTCCGGGCTCTGCCTGGGCCCCTCGGCCTCGGGCCCCACCGACGGGATGTGAACTTCCAGCATCCGCGCCCCGGCTCGGGCCGCTCGGCGCGCTCGAATCCGAGCCCTAACTCTCCGGGAGCAGACAGACGACCCCTGCGCGGCCGGCCCCGCCCCGCCCCCTAAGCCCTCAGGCCCCACCCAGGCCCCGCCCCCAGGCGACCCCGCCCCGGGCGTTCCCTCGCGCGGCGGGTTCTGAGCCCAGAAGATTAGGCGGGACCCGGACGCAGCACGGGGCAGGGGAGTCACCCATTTGTCAAACATTTACTGAGCGGTCACTGATGCTAGGAACCGGTGAGCGAAAATGTCACCCATCCTGAGTTAAGCGTCTACTAAGGACTAAGAACGGCCTGTGGCTCCAGGCGTGGACGGAGGCGGGGCCTGGGCCTCAGTGCGTGTCCTCGGGCCAACCAGGGACCTACCTGCCTTGCGTTCCTCAGTCCCTTCCCCAGCCTTTCCCTCCTTTCAGCCTGGTTCCTGAGATTGCGACCTGGAGTCCCCGGCTGAGGCCACACTTGAGCAAGGCGTGGACCCAATCCAACTATGATGTCCCCTTCCCCAGCATCCACAGGCCCCTCCATTCATTCATTGTTTACATCCATCCATCCACTTGTATCTTCTAACCCTAAGCGGCTCCAGGCTGTTTGTAGGGAAGAGGCAGTTTAGGGACTTAGGCTCTGATTTGGGGATCAGACAGCCTGGATTTCAGGAGCCGTGTAGACCTTTGCTCATCTGCAAAATAGGGATAATACGGCTCCTTGAGGCGAGTGTATACAGTGAGATGATTCGGCCAGGCACAGTGGCTCACACCTGTAATCCCAGCACTTTGGGAGGCTGAGACGGGTGGATCACCTGAGGTCAGGGGTTCGAGACTAGCCTGGCTAACATAGTGAAACGCCGTCTCTACTAAAAATCAGCCGGGCTTAGTGGCACGTGCCTGTAATCCCAGCTACTCGGGAGGCTGAGGCAGGAGAATGGCTTGAACCCAGGAGGCAGAGGTTGCAATGAGCCAAGATCGTGCCATTGCACTCCGGAATGGGCAACAGAGCAAGACTCTGTCTAAAAAAAAAAAAAGTGAGACGTGTTAGGTCCTTAGCAGAAGCATTGAGTAGCAGCTTGACTGTGGGCTTGTCCTGGATGACTAGGACAAGTGGGCACAGGGCAGTGGATGGAAAGAGGGACTTTGGGGAGTGGCACGAGTTGCCCTTGTCCACCCCTCTGGGCAGCTGCTTCCTAGATATGTGGCAGAATTTTAATCCAGAATTCTCTCAGGCCATGCACTGGAAAGGGCCTCTGCTCCCACCTCTCAGCCCTGCACCCCTCCAACTGTCCAGGAGCTGCTATCATTCAGCAGCACCATGGCAGGGCCTCTACTCCACTGATTTCCCCTACAAAGACCTCGTGACATGGGGATAGGGGAGGCCCTGCCTTCCAAAGCTCATACCTAGTGGGAGGTCATGGGGTGGGCAGGAGGAAGCAGGGAGCCTGTCTTCAGGGCTGGGGTTGAGGGGACTCACCCCTCCCCTGCTCCTGAAGAGATGTCTCTGAGCTGGAGCAGAAAACCTCCATCCCCAGCCCTGCCTCCAGAGAGGGCTGAGATGACCTCAAAATGGGGCAAATAGGTCTCACCAATACCATGTCCCACACTTTCTTTCACACAAGGACCCCAGAATCAGGAAGCTAAAACTTCCCAGATCCTAGAGGGGTCTCCTAGAAGAAAAGCGGCCCAGAGTGAGGAGAAGCGCTGTGCTTTCATTTCCTCCCTAGGACCCCATCATTCAAGCACCCAGCTCCCCCTGGCCGACAGGGCCTCCCCAACTCCCATGGTCCAGAAAGGACTCTACTGGGATACTCAGACTTCTTGGTCCCCATGAAGGCAGGGTCTTCATTTTTCCCTGCCTTCATCCCCAATAGAATGTCCATTCTCTACCCTGCAGCACAAACTGTTCTCAAGGGATCTGCTTAAAACCTTCCAATGTTTCCCATTGCACCTAGACTAAAACCCACCCTCCCTACACAATCTATAGAGCTATAAGTAACCCAGCCCAGCCTCCATCTTCTGCCTCATTTCCTCTCCTCTCCTCATCACGCACCAGGCTCTTGGAACCTGACAAGCTCTTTCCTTCTTCAGGGCCTTCACATAAGGCTGTTTGTTCCACCTGGGGACACTCTTCCTTGACTCTTCAAGGACTGGGCTCATCCTCCAATTCTTAGCCTAAAACTCAACTCAAAGAGGCTTTTTTTTTTTTTTTTTTTTTTTTTTTTGAGACAGAGCCTCACTTCAGTCGCACGGGCTGGAGTGCAGTGATACAGTCACGGAGCTCACTACAGCTTAGGTGATTTTCCCACCTCAGCCTCCTGAGTAACTGGGACTACAGGTGTGCACCGCCATACCCGGCTAATTTTTGTAGCAATGGAGTTTGGCTGTGTTGGTCAGGCTGGTCTCCTGGGCTCAAGCCAACCGCCCACCTTGGCCTCCCAAAGTGCTGGGATAAAAGGCGTGAGCCACTGCAACCAGCTGAGGCTTCCTTCTTGACCACCCTATCATATGACCCTTTCTATGCACTTACTACAATCTGCAATTATTGTTACTTGTGTGTCTCAGAAACATTTGGGTTGAAAGACTACATACAGAATATTTATGATGGAAAGAGTATATGAATGAAAGGGCAGTGGGGGCATGTCGAGAAAAAACTAGGAAGGGGAAGGAGCAGGGGCTGCTGAAGGGTTAAAGGCGGCCTGCAAGGGGGCAACAAGAATCTTCCTCCCACCTCCAGAGTTAAACACACCTCTCCTCTCGCTTCTTTCTTGGCAGATTGTTGTCCACTTTATCCATTTACTTAATTTTCAGGTGTTCCAGGAAGCCTCAGATCAGTGGATTTTCATCACCAGTTGTGCAAAGAGATTCCATGCAGCTGACTTGTCAAACATCTGATAGTAGACCTGCAGCTCCTAATTGCACAGCGTTCTAGGGCACAAGAGTGCAGGTCCAAATGAAGAAAAACAAGATCCTTGACTTAGGGGCATTTAAGATGTCTTTGGGGAGGTAAAACAAGGTATGGAGAATATTTTCCAATTTTTAAAAAATCAATTATGTATTAATTTACTGAGACAGGCTCTCACTCATTTGCCAAGGTTGGGGTACAGTGGCACAATCATGGCTCACTGCAGCCTCGACTTGCCAGGCTTAAGAGCTCAGCCTCCCAAGTAGCTGGGACTACAGGTACTCATTGTCAAGCCTGGCTAATTTTTGTTTCGTTTTGTTTTGTAGAGACAGGGTCTCACTATGCTGCCCAAGCTGGTCTCCAACTCCTGGGCTCAACTGATCCTCCTGCCTCGACCTCCCAAAGTGCTGAGATTATAGGTGTGAGCCACCGTGCTGGGCCAAATATTTTCCTATAAAGAGGAACACATCATGTAAATGCCATAGCAGTTATTACAATCAAAGGAAGTTTGCTTTCTGTACACTTTCAGTGCTGGCCAGCTCAGCATATGAATACCAAGTTCCAGACTCTACATGACGGATATGCACCCCTCAAAGTAACTTCTGTTTTTAGAATGAGCTGTTTTTCCACACGAACCTTTGTCTTTTCTCCATTGTGATCTAGCATATGGATTGTATTTCCCTATTAGATTATAGTAATTCTCAGACTTTAGCAATCTTCACCACCAACTGTAGGGCTGTGAAATCTCAGATTTGAGTGCCCTGACCCAGGATTTTCTACTTGCTGGGCTGGGGTGGAGCCTGAAGCGGGCATCGCTAACAAGCTCCTGGTGCTGCTGAAGCTCCCGGTTGGAGAGCGTAATAAGCAAGCACCTGTCTCCTGATTCCCCGCCGCAGCCCTGCCAGGGACCGGGCCCCACTCGCTCCTCTGTTGCAGGTATGGAGCCTGCAGTTTGCCACTTGGAAATAGGACCAAGGCCTGAGCAGAGGGCAGGAAGGGCTGGGGGGTGAAGTTGTCCCCCGACTTGCCCCATTCCTGCACATGGGTAGGCTGGCCCACAGCCCCGGCCTTAGCTCAGGCCCTGGCTTCCGCCACAGTCACACAAAGCCCCCTTTCACCGGCAAGGCTTCTGCTGCTCAGGAGGTTTGGTTAACCCCATTAAGAAAACAAACAGCCCCTGGGCCACGAGCCTGTGGGCGCCACTGGGCACAGAGGCAGGATTCTTCTCTGAGCCCGCACGGGGGACGGCAGTGGAGGGGTGGACTGGCCAGGAGGGGCCCAGCCACTAGGGGCCATCTGAGCCATGATGGACCTTGCCTGCCCCACCCTAGCCCAGCTCTGGTCACTGGTATAACCTTGGATAACCCCCGTGAGGCTCAGGGTCCTTATCTGCCCTTATCTCAGGGTCCTCGCACAACAGAGAGCGGTGTGGCTTAAATGACAGCAGCTTCCAAAGTGTTTGGCAGAGGGCCCAGCGCACAGTAGAGAGATGTTAGCTATTACTAGTGACTGAATTATGTGAATTTGCTGTTTTTGTAGGCAAAAAAACGGCAGGGGTTTAGCAATGACATGGTTCATCCTGATGGATACTGATTCATGGACAACAAAAACAGGTTCTACTATTTCTTCCGCCTTGAGACTGCAAGGTTAGTTTAAAAAAAAATTAACAATTTCAACTAACTCTCCAATAAGGATGTTTCTGATTTACTCCATATTGTGCAACCAAAAAGAGTAAAGAAATAAATTGGAAGCAGAGGTTGATGTAAATCAGCAACTATGCTGTTCAGCAAAACGGCCTCAGAGTTTCTACTGATTACCTTGTTAATAAGTACATTTTATAAATTGAAATAATACAATATAACATTTAAAAACATCATTTTTATGTTTGAATGTTAGATTTTGGTGTAACACATCTTTTAAAAAGGGTGCTACTAAAAAGCATTGTGAGTTACTGAGTTAGTCCAAACACTTCATTTCTGTCATCTGGGGAAAGCGAGGCATGAGGGAGGGGTGGGGCTGGGAACGCCTGTGTTAGAAGGCACCTCTGACAAGCGTGTCCTGCCCAAGTCCTTAGAGCAAAGCTTGGTCCAGGGCAGGCAGGCTCGGGGTTCCAGTCAGTAATGCCACTCCCCGGAGCCTCCTGTCTCCTGCCCAGATATGGCAGCGGCAGCTCAGCTGCTTCAGACAACATGATCCAGGTCTGGCCCAGGGAGAGCTGGCAGAGGCCACCCCAGCACTTTGATGGCACAGCTTGCCAGCTGCATGTGGTGATACAGCTTAATGCCCTTCAGAGCCGTGTCAGCCAATCAACCAAGCAGCCCCTCTGGTGTGGTGAGTACTAGGGTTCAAGAAACAAAGACACACTTGGTTCCCTCAAGTAACAAGGGTTTATTGTGAAGGGACCTGAGAGACCAAGAACTGGGGAGAACAGTTCTTGATCCGGGCCTCGAGGTCTGGAAGGGAGGTGGCTCTGCCTCGTCTGCTAGCTGTCCCCAGGGTGCTGCCCATGGCTTCTCAGCAAGTGGAGTTTCTCATGTCTGCCTTTAAGGTCCCCAGCTACTCACCAGAGCTGCTTCTGTCTTCCAGCCTCTGCTTCTGCTCCACTGGGCAACCCCCTGCCCATCAGGTGAAAGAGTGTCTCGTATGGGTCAGAGAAGCTACAATGCGTACCAGGCCAGGTGGTACCAAAATGGGCTTGTCCTTAGCAGGCCTACTGTGTGGATGCAATCATGTCTAAACAACTTAGGGGATTGATTTCCAGGTTCCTTTCGTCTGTGTCTGTCTAGATGTCTAGATTGTGTCGGATAGGGTGTGGCAGAGAGGCCGTGCTAAGAGTTTGAGTTTGTATTAGCTCTGTGGTGTAATCTGGGCCAGCTGCTTTAGCTCCCTGGGCCTGTCCTTAGTGTGGTCATGAGTGCACCCTGCAGGGTGGCGGAGCTGGATTTGAGCTGTCTCAGGGCCTGGAGCACAGTGCCCAGCACAGTGCTGAACAAATGGCAGTTCTCACTATAGTTAATAAAATAATTAGGCCCGAGAGTGGGAAGGGGCCGTCATGGGCAGTCTGTCCCCTGCTCTGGAACATGCTCCTGACCTCAGGAGCCTCCTATTTTTCTGAGGCTGCTGGTGCTCCCTTGAGGGGAAACCTGCCTATTGGGCCCCTGTGGTTATTGCCACTGGGGCTCATAATGGAAGAGGAAGCAGCAAGCTCTAAAGCCCCGAAGGGTCAGTCATTTGGAAACAGTCACATCTCTTTATGGAAAGGTCCTGTCTCAGATTGGACAGGGTTTTTCTGTTTCTTTTCTGGACCCAGACAAAGAGCATCCTGTGGAAGGCGAGCAGCTGGCTTCCTCTGAGCAGCCTTGGGTGGGTGAAGCTTTCTGCCCACAGCCAGGGCTGGTCATCAGAGCCAGAGGAGCATTTCCACAACAGAAAGGTTCCTAGGGGCAAAAGGCCTGTCTGGGGCAAGCCTTGTGGGGCCTGCAGGCTTTCCCGGGGTACTATGCACTAATCTTACCACCCACGGTGGTGCCTATTAAACCTCAAATTAGGCCAGATTTCCAGATCGCTTGAAAAATCCACAGATCTGGGCTCAGTGGCCCACGGGCTTGTATGGCAATGATCTTGAGCCAAGGAGCAGCTGCTGCCCCAGAGTCTCCTCTGCAGGAGGGGGAAGACACCGGGATAAGCAAAGACAGGGCAGCCCAGGACCCTAGGGAGTCCAGGGCTCAGGAGGCTACAGAGATTGCCTCAGAGCTGACACCACACTGGAGAGAAAAGCCAGAGGCTGAAGAGGGCGACAGATGCAGGGCTCCACTCCAGGCTGGGGCAGGGCACGGAAGGCAGATCAGGGGAATCTGCCTGGAGAACAGACATGTGGCACAGGCCTCAAAGGATGCACTGGACTGTTTTCCCATAATGAAAATAGCTTTATTTGATTTTTCTCATTATAATGATAATACATAGAAATGTTAAGCAATACAAAATGGTATTAAAAATTAAAGGTAATGCAAACTTCCATCTCTAGAGGTGATCATAGTTATTAACAATTCAATCAACATCCTTCCCATATGTAAAGTTTTATATAAATGTGAATATCATGCGATTCTATAACCTGCTTTTTTCACTCAAAAATCTGAGTTTTTCTTGTCAATGAATATAGCTATATATTGTCAATGGCTGTAGAATATTCAATGGTGTAACTGTACCATAATTCACTTAATCCCCTCCTGATGGACATTTCAATTGGTTTCCATTTTTGCAACTGTAAACAGTGCTATGATGGGCATTTCTGGTTGGTCATCTTCAAGGATTTGGTTTCTAGAAGCACCTGTGGGTTCCTCAGTGAATGTTCTGACACAGGCAAATGCCCCCCATCTCCTTACCCTTACACTCCCATCTAGGGCATTGGAAAACACCCGCTTCAGACAGGTGTAATTCTGAGACTGCAAATGGGGAAGGGAGAAAGGGTGCTTAAGGTACAAAGCCCAGCATTAACCCAGGCTCCAAGGGCCACACAGGAGTGAGAAGCAGCACATTTGCAGTCAGTTTCCAGGAGGTGTTGGCACTGTTGAGAAGGACTGGGAGATAAAGAGAAAAAGGTGAGCTGGGTCCTCTCCCAGACAGTATGACTGTCAGGTGGCAGAGCCTGCAATGGGGGAACAATCACTCAACGGTTATCTATTTGACACCTGTTTTGAGTCTGAGTCTTTGCCAGGGGCCATGGAGTTATAAAGGCATACCACCAGAGTTTACAGTTTGGTGGAGACAGTAAATCACCCGACTTTATCACAGGATACAGTATTGGCAGGTGACGTGTGCACCAGAATATAGGCCTGAGTTGTTTTTGTCCATTTCTCTCAGCTCAGGTCTGGCCCTGTCCAAACATGGAGCAGAGACTCTTAGCTGGTGTCTTCAAAGACAGTGTACGTCCAGGCATGTGTGTACCGCAGCAAAGGTGTGCCCTCCTATGACTGGAGCCAGGGGGCCAATTATCTTCTCCTGCCCTCCCATCCCCCTAGGCTGCCAAGTACTGGTGGGGAAAATCCCACCACCTTGGGGCTTGATGTCCCTGAAGTCTGTGGCCATCCTGTGGGCCCTGAGCATGCTCAGCAAAGGACACGCCCTCCATCAGCACACACACTCCAGTCACATCTTGGCCCCATCCTGAGATTTCCATCAGTTCGTCTCCTTTTTTTAAATTTGAGTTGCTTCAAAGACTCTTTTTTTTAGGGCTCCCAGCTACAAGAGCATTCAGAATCAAAGTCTTCTGGGAAGAGCTGAAAGTTGCTAGTATTTCTGTCTGAGGGAACAATTCTGGCTTATTCCCATTTCTCTCATTTATTCTGTCACTAAGTACGGACACCGAATACTGGGATCACCCCAGCTCGAAGTCCAAGTCCTCATCCTTGGCACTCTAGAGCCCGAGTGCCGAACTAGCCCTGGGGAAAGCAGAGGAGCTGCTGACCTGTCTCCGTACCTTTTATCTAAACCACTTGGTTCAAACAGGTAAATATGACATCCCTAGCTCAGAAAATTTTAATTATCAAGCATGAAACTTCCCCTCTTCAGCCTCCCCTCCACTAAGATTCTTTCCTGTGGCCTCAACAGTGAGGCATCCTCTGAACACAGGTCCCCTTCCTGTGCTCCGGACCACATTTTCTTCCAAACATGGCTCTGATAGTCATTCTCTTTCTCTTCTCTGAATTTTATTAACATGCTTATGTTTGCCCCACCTTTACATAAAACAAAGCCTCCTTTTACTCTAACTCCGCTGCTTACAGCAACTGCCCTCCCTTCCCATCCAGAGCTGCTTTTTTTTTTTTGAGACAAGATCTTGCTTTGGTCACCTAGGCTGGAGTGTAGTGGCACAATCATAGCTCACTGCAACCTCAACCTCTTGGGCTCAGGTGATGTTCCTGCATAGGAACATAGGCATGTGTCACCACACATGCCTAGCTAGTTGTTTTTATTTTTTGTAGAGACAGGGTCTCACTATATTGCCCAGGCTGGTCTCAAATTCTTGGGCTCAAGCGATCCTCCTATGTCAGCCTCCCCAAATGCTAAAAATACAGGTGTAAGCTACTGTACCTGGCCCAGAGCTGCTTCCTGAACACCTTCAGCACTCACTGCCCCCACCACTGCTGCCCCTCCCATCTTCCCCGAACCTGTTGCCTCACATGTTACAAAGGTCTTCACTGTCTACCCAGTGTCTGAGCCAGAAGCCTGGGGGACATGCTAGTTACCTCCCTCTCCCCTGAGGCTCTCATCAAATCAGGGACTGGATCTCAGTGGTTCCAACTTCACGTCCCGAAACTCTCCCGAGCTCTGGTCCCATCATACCTGCCCTTCTCAGCTCTCCTGAGGGTCCGGATGAGCCTGGCTGCTCTTCCTGCCTCCAGTCTCACACCTTCTGGTGTGTCCAGATCACAAAGCAGCCATGGTGATGTTGAATGCACTTCCCAGGTCCTATCAGGCACCCTGTGATCTGGCTCCTGCTCATTTTTCTCTATGGTCCTCACTGACTTTAGCCACACCAAGCCACTTGACATGTCCCTAGATGTGCCTACCTCACACTCCCAGACAGACAGTATAAACAACTACATATTTCTTTGAACTGTCTGGCGAGAGCCTAGAGGCAATGACATTCCAGTAACAATAAGCACATTTGGCACCTAGATCTAGGTTTCTAAATACCATTCTCTGGTCGGGTGTGGTGGCTCACGCCTGTAATCCCAGCACTTTGGGAGGCTGAGGTGGGTGGATCAGGGAGGCAGAAGGGTCCCAGCAGAAGCAGCAAACACTTTTCCACCTTTTAGACTCAGTTCAAGCATCTCCACAAAGTCCTCCCTCCTGGATCCCCAGCTGGAATACCACCTTCTTCCTTTGTGCTCCTATTATTCCTTGTACAGGCTTCCAGCTCAGTACCCTTAAACCACTACTGGCCTACTTGATTTCCACATGTGTAAGCTCTTTACAAAAATGTACAAGCCCTAAAGACAACTGGCCCCGTCAGCCTCGGGATACAGGGAGCAGAGGAAGAAGTTCTGAAACCAGAGGAGGCGTCATTCTAACGAAGTAAGAAAAACACACTTACTTCAGAATGATCACTAGATGAAACTTAAAGCAAGCTGAAATCTTTGTCTCTCTGGAGGAAAGAGTTAACAACATGGAGAAGTGGGGAGACTGGAATAAACCTAAAAGGGGCTGGTTCAAAGCATCAGTGTGAATTCATGATTTTTAATATCTATTTATGTCAGGTATCTCTACCCTATCTTGTTACTATACACTGCTACATATTTCTTTGAACTGTCTGGTGAGAGCCTAGAGGCAATGACATTCCAGTACCAATAAGCACATTTGGCATCTAGATCTAGGTTTCTAAATACCATTCTCTGGTCGGGTGTGGTGGCTCATGCCTGTAATCCCAGCACTTTGGGAGGCTGAGGTTGGTGGATCCCTTGAGGTCAGGAGTTCGAGACCAGCTTGGCCAACATGGTGAAACCCCCATCTCTACCAAAAATTAACCAGGTGTGGTGGTGGGTGCCTATAATCCCAGCTACTTGGGAGACTGAGGCAGGAGAATCACTTGAACCCGGTAGGTGGAGGTTGCAGTGAGCCAAGATTGCGCCATTGCAGTCCAGCCTGGGTGACAAGAGCAAGACTCCATCTCAATAATAACCATCAAATCAAATAAAAAGAAATACTATTCTCTATTATAAGGAACCAAGACTCCCTGGAGAAATGGCTGATTCCAGTCTGCCTCCTTTTCCATGTTGTTAAATCCTTCCTGCAGACAGGGCTGGGGCAGGGAACATTCCAGATAAACCTGAAACATCTTGTTATACCAGAAGGTAAGAAAGGGCTGAAAAATGATGGGGACAAGCTAAAAACACATAAGAGGCTGATATAAATCTGGGACAATTTGAGAACCAAGATAAAATCAAAGCAATGGCCTGCAACTTTGAGTAAAATAGGAATCCCTGTATCCATACTGATAAACAAGTGAATACATAAATGGTGAGAAAGGATGTTTTCTTTATAAATGGAATGCCAGCCAATAAATGTAGAAGGCATTATGGAGTTAGTTAGGAAATCGTGTTGGTCAATCATGACAGTAATAACTCAGACAAGACTAATCAACTGGTACTAAATAGTGAATGAGAAACAAAATACTTATATGGTCTCAAAGTATCTCCCCACAAATTACTTGTTAATTACAAAGGGAAAGCTGTAAATTTAAAATGAAATCTGGCAGACATCAACCCAACCAAGTGAACACAGTTAACAATATTAATAAACTGACATGATATGCTGATTACGCTGCACTGAGGACGCATCGCTTCTGTGATATTCCTGCCCAGAATGCAGAACCCTAATCTAGTCATGCGGAACCATCACACAGATGCAAATTGAGGAACCTTCAACAAAACAGCCTGTAGTCTTCAAAAATGTCATGGTAATGAAAGACAAAGAAAGGCTGAGGAATCTGCAGTACTGAGAGAGACACATTTACAAGTAAATGTAACACATGATCCTGCACAAGGAAAAAGAATAGCCACAAAGGACATTATTAGGCTGCCAACATTTAAACATGAACCACGGGTTAGATAACAGTATTAAATCACTGTTCAACTTCCTGATTTTCATAATATTACTTAAAAGAATACTTACAGATTCTTAAAAGATTTCTCTCCTTCTCTTAGAATAGAATGTTATGTTCTTAGGGAGATGCATACCGTTTTGGGGCATAATGGGGTATCTTGCAAATTACTCTTAAATGATTAAGACAACATGAAATACAGATAAGGCAAATAGGATAGATTGTAAACACTTGGTAAATTTGGATAAAAGATATACAGGAGTTCTTTGTGATAGTCCTGCAACTTTTCTGTAAATCTGAAATTATATTAAAAAGTTGAAAGCTACCAACAAAACAAAACAACCCCCGACCAAGAACCCAACAACAAGGGATGAATGAAAATTATGGTACAGTCACCCTATGGAAGCCTTCAAATCACACAGCTTTACAAATCAACTTTGTGAAGCTATATAACAATATGGAAATATGCTTATAACATGTACAATTTTGAATGTCAAAAGCAGGATACAAAATATTTTATGTGTATATTATTACAACTATGTAAAAGCAAGCATATAATAAAGACTAGAAGGATAAAACCAAAGTTGATAAGGATACTGAGGGGTAGAGAGTGACTTTTTCCAAAAAATTCACCTGTTAAAATCCTTGCAGCACTGACCCTTCCCCTGGGGCTGAGCCCCTGCACAGGAAATCAGCATGTTTCCTTCACTTCCTTGCCTCAGGCTAGCTTGCCCCAAATCTTGGCCCCCCACTAAAGAGAACTGATAGAGCAGGACCTGGGGCCCCTATGGCAGAAGCGTCTTTGGGCTGGAGGTGGCAAGGCTCCCACAGTGGCAGTCAGCGGCTCGAGCTCACAAAGGAGCTTCAAAGTCCACTCTGATGAGTACAGCTTGAGCAGCTGTGGACATAGCTAAGGGGGAAGCCCAGCCTTGACTGACCTGAGACTCTGGCCTCCCCTAGCCAGACTGGCAGAGATCTGTGTGAACACCCTTTGGCTGTGTCTGGGGGCTCCTGCTGGCAAGCTACCTCCTGGGCACAGAACAGTAGAGCTTCTTTGAACCTCCTACGGCTCAGCAGCTCAGAGTCCAGCAGAAGGGATGGCTAGATCAGATCACCCTATCTAGAGGCAGAGGGCATGGCTTTCATGTCTATGGAGATAAAGCATCAAGTCCTTATCAGCCCTTCACACCTTCACACAGTCTACTGAGAATGTGTTTTGATGGGCGACAAAAATAGGTTTATATATAAGACTTGCCATCAGAGGGCAAGACTCAGAGAGCCCTGAGCAGCTTAGGGAAACAGGAGGAATAAAAGAGAAAGGCTCTTGCTTAACAATGGGGATACCAAAGAAAAAAAGAGAGAGAAAGAAAGTCTCTGCCTCCTTTGCAGGAGAATAGGTTTGCTCCTCTTATTTTAAGAGATGTTTTTAAAACTCCTTCCCTTAAGAAGTGGGAATATGAAACAGATTGAGATCCTCAGAACAGGTAGCTGAGGTAGGCAGAGAGAAAGAAAACCCATTTCCAGAGGGAAGCAGCAGCAAAAACTTGTGAACGGTAGAGAAAAACTTACTATACCTGGGCAACTTCTTGGTTAGGAGTATTCCAGACCTGATTCCCAACTGTTCCCAGCCTAAGCAAAAAGCACCACCATTCTGAGTCATGTGACCTGATTTTAAAATATTTTATTACATAACCTTTTCATGGCACCATCAGGAGTAACAGAAAACGTTATTCCCAGTTCCTAAACCACATCCTGAAAAATATACATTTGTATTTATATATTTATATCAATACTCCACCCCATCCCATAATTCTACCACCTATTGTAGGTCTTTTGCTTAAAGCAGGAAACTATTCTCTTAGGTAAGAAAATATATATGGAAGCTAAATGAAATAATGGTCAGAGTAACTGGGGACAGTGGTCATGGGGACAGGGAAGAAGGGGTTAAGTCCAGCCTATGCAGGATGCAGGATGGGGGGTCCATCAAGGTGGAGGAGGACAGTGTATAAAAAGGCAGCGTCACACAAGTGGGCTCTGGGGTCCTTGGTCCATTAGGAGATGGCCTTTGCTTCAGGAAGGAAGGCTTCCCAGTACTTTGCCAGCTGCAAAGAAGTGGGGACAGTAAGCAAGTGCCCCCACCTAGTGGCAGAGCCTGAGCCAGGCTGGGAGGAAGCAAGCACAATGTCCTGGCGTTCCCCAATGTCCTGGCGTTCCCCAAGCGCCTCCGCCCCACAAAGGCAGGCTCCCAGCAGCTGTACACACCACATGACCCTCACACCTCCCTCTCACTAGGGGAAGCAGCAGTTCCTGAGCCCCAAGTGCAAGGCCAGTCTCTGAAGACAGTCTTGGCTCCAACCCAGAGGGAGCATGCCTGTGGTGGCCACAACTTTCCTGGCTCAGTTAGCTCCTCGCAGTGGGGCCATTGTTTCGCATACTGATGAGGCCTTAGCCTCAGGAGGGCCAGGTGGTATCATGGGGTGGCTGCTGGAAGGCTAAGCAGTTACAGGGAGATGGAGTTTGTCCTCAAAAACTAACTCACCTCAGAATGAGGGCAGCAGCGCAGGGCCCTCCTGCTTAATAAAAGATCCTGTTGGATGCTCCATGTCAGAGCAGCAGGGGTTATTTTCAATGTTTGACTATAGGAGGGCCCAGCCCCTCAGAAGCAGGACCTGCACATCTTGTCGCAGAAACCCCAAGGAGGCAGCCGGCCTTTGGAGCAGACAGTAGAGGATGAAGGTCAGGCACAACTTACATACCTGCTGCTGTGAGTAAAGGAGTGTCTCAAGGTACTTGATCACGTGGTTCTTGAAGTCCTTGGATTTCTCTTTCTAGGAGACAAGATTGTACACTGACCGACCAGTTTTTCCTTTCCCTTTTGATGGGTTGGTGGTGTTTATTGCTGACCAAGGCCAAACATAGTCTCAGAAATTAGAAGCAGCAGGGGAAATAGCTGTAATTTCCAGCCAAAGAGGACTGCCAAGGCCTTGAAAGGCTTTGTTGGAGGGCAGGAGATGGGAAGTGGAGGAGAAAGGACAGGGCTGAAGGTATGTGGCAGCTGCAAGCTTTGTGTCTAATTGCTCTGGTCCAGTCACAAGTGTAAGTGTGCCACTGTGCCTGTGAACAAGCACACACACCCCCCAAAGAAGGCCACGCCTGCTCATGAGAATTGCCAAGTCACTGGCACCTCCATCTCCTTACCCAATGGAGTTGGACGGACCAAGCACTGTATGCTAAGTGAGAAGTGGGACCTTCTGTCTCACCTCAAATCGTATCACTTCTTTTCGGACCACTGTTGAAATCCTCTCAAAGTCCCTTTCATACTGAGTAACCCGAGACTCCCACTGGGAAGAAAGAAAGAAAGGATCACCTCATATTATGCCATCATTATTAAGACTTCACATTTGGACAGCAATTTTACATGAGTTCTTGATTGATCATTACGTCTTTCTGTCCCTGTGGATAAGATGAGGTGTCACAGGGGATTCTGCATGTAAGTCAGAGCCCAGCAGAAGGCCGCCTTAGGGGCTGGCTGGAAAAGAGATGCCTGTGCTCCAGGCATCTGGGACCAAGCGTGGTCCTTCAAGAAAGCTCTGGTGCTCCAGCAGCCTCCAGGTTAGGTACTCACCAGCAGCGGTGGTAGACCTGGAAAACCTTTTAGTTCTCATGAGAAGGCATATCTGAATCAGCTAGGAAGCTTTTCAAAGACCCAGCCAGGACCCCTCCTGCAGAGATTTTTTTTATTTTTTAGAGGTGGAGTCTCACTCTGTCATCCAGGCTGGAGTGCAGTGGCTCGATCTCGGCTCACTGCAACCTCCTCCTCCCGGGTTCAAGTGATTCTTGTCTCTCGGCCTCCTGAGTAGCTAGGACTAGAGGCGCACGTCACTATGCCCAACAAAATTTTTTGTATTTTTAATAGAGACGGGGTTTCACCATGGTGGCCAGGCTGGACTCGAACTCCTGACCTCAAGTGATTTGCCCACCTTGGCCTCCCAAAGTGCCCAGATTACAGGTGTGAGCCAGCATGCCGGGCCAGAGATTCCGATTTGACAAGTCTGGGTAGAGTAGGAGGAGAACAGGGGGACCAGGCTTCAGGAAGGTCTGGAGTCATTCTCAGAGGCTTCCTCGGCAGCCACAACCCTTTAGACTTAATCAGCACTGTCTCCTGCTGTGGGGTTCCAAGCCCCTGGGTGGGATGGGAGCTGGGTTCATTTGGAGCCAATAGAACCCCCTGGCTGGGCTGCTTCAGGGGACTCACCTCAAGGATCTCATCCTTGGCCTGCTGCAGCTTATCAGGCTTGTTGGCCCACAGCAGCCGAGCCTCAGCCTCCCGCTTCTTCTGCAGTGTGGCTTGGGCATCCTGCCAGCGCTGCCAAGTCTTCATGCGCTGGTCAAAGGCAGCCTGTGGGGGTGGGGTTGAGGAGGAGCACAGCCAGCTCTTCAAGAGCTCTGCTGTCTCTGCCTCGGGACAGGCTCTCCCAGCAGCTGCGCTAGGGACGGATGGAGCAAGGGCAGGTTCTGCAGCCACATGTTAGTGCCTGGCTGGGAAGTTTAATGTCTAGGAGCAAAGCCTGGGTAAGACTCCTCTCCAAGCTTCCAGGAGGCCAGCGCCATGCTGCTTCATGCTACTCCCAGGGCTGGATGGCAGGGAGCCAGTAGGTGGCCTCATGCCAGGGACCAATACTATGCCTTACAAAAGTACCTCCCTCAGATCAGTCAGTTCATAAGGCTACAGACTTTCCCTGAGTGCCTGCGACGTGTCCGGGGCTAAGAACACAGTGGATGAAACTCATGGTCCCGTTTTCATGGAACTTGTCATCTAATGGAAAAGGCCACCATTACATTCGCAATTACAAATAGATACTTATAAGTAGGCAGACTACTGGGAAAGCAGCAGGTACTATAACATGAAACTAGGGTCCTAGATTAGCCTGGGAAATATGTCAGGGAACTCCACGCTAAGGACGCAACCTTGAAACTGACACCCAAATAATGTACAAGGTTAGCTTGACACATTTTAAATCAACCCTTCAAACCACCACAAGGCCACACTGCTTCTTCCCAACCACACACTCCCCTGCTCTAGGCTACCAAGGCCTCCAAGAAGCTCCCCAAAATCTGCTTGCCAGTTTTCCTTGTTTCCAGCTCCCTGACCACAATCAACATTTCCAGGGGAGGAAGCTGTTGGCCTGAATAACCACACCCATGGATTCACTTAATATGCAGCAAGCAGCAGCCTGAGTCAAGGATCTGTGCCTGGGGCCAGCCACCCAGCAGAAGTTCCCTGAATATTTTCTTCTTTTTTCACTCTTGTCCCCCAGACTAGAGTGCAATGGCACGATCTCGGCTCACTGCAACTTCCGCCTACCAGGTTCAAGTGATTCTCCTGCCTCAGCCTCCCAAGTAGCTGGGATTACAGGCACTCATCATCATGCCCAGATAATTTTTCTATTTTTAGTAGAGACAGGGTTTCTCTATGTTGGCCAAGCTGGTCTCAAACTCCTGACTTCAGGTGATCCACCCGCCTCGGCCTCCCAAAGTGCTGGGATTACAGGTATGAGCCACCAGGCCTGGCCTTCCCTGAATATTGTCTATGCCTCCTTTGTGAAGGCTTTTGCCAAACTTGAACTTTGTGGAGGGCAATACCACCAAATTCACCTGCCCTAGCACTGTCACTGCTGCTCCCCTGCCCATCTTAACACCTCAATGTCAAAGTATTAGGTAAAGGGCTAATATCATATCCAAGTAAGACTCAAGCTCAACCCACGGGGCTAACAGTGGTCTGGCACCATGCTCAGGGAAGAAAAGAAAAGAAACTTTTGCTCTTCTCTCCAATCCCACCTTAATCATGAGGTAGGCAGGTGGAGGGTCTCTGAGAAAAGACCACTCACAGTTCTGTGCCCAGCCCTAGCCCATGGAGCTCTAGGATGAGGCAGGCTCACTCTGCCTGGGGGCTATATCCAAGAGCTGTGCTCTCCAGAGACCCAAGCAATGCTCCTCACAGAAAGCTTCCCCCAGAGAGTGCCCTTCCTGGGGCTGCCTCTCCAGTCTAAGTAGTCTGATCAGTTCTAAGAATTACGTAGCAGCTTATTTTTCAAGCCTCTTATCACTCTGGAGTTAGCAGCAAACCACACAGCAGCGGGAGAGGCAATGAGCAACCTCACAGCCTCTATGAAGCAACTCCACCCCGGGGATGGGGGAAGCGACAGCCTGGGAACAGCTCTGCTCCTGACACAACCCAGACGCTCCCTACGGGAGATAAGTTGGGGATGGGAAACCAGGAGTGGCATTGTTCTAACTCTGAGGCTCATACATCCTGATTGCAAGCCAAGTCAGGGATGGACTTGGGCCCTTATAGTGTAGGCGCCAGGCTCCCTCTTGGTTCTTTCCTCCGTCTCACAGAGGCCATCTGAGAGCGAATACCACTGTCAAGATTCCTTTACGTTAACTGCCAGGAGTGCTCACGGGAAATCACGGTGCTTGATCACCAGGAGAAAGAGTGAGGTGCTTGATGCGGGGCGGGCTGGAATGTGACCAGTGCGGGGTGGCACAGCACAGGGAGGGCTCTGGTACAAGCTCTCTCAGCCCCCTGGCTGCCCTCTTCCATGTAATGCCAAGCCAGTTCCATGTAGTTACCTGACTGCCCTCACTGGAAAGACAAGTGGACGCCAGCAAGAGCTCTTAACCAGAGCAAAGCCACCGCTTACTGTTAAGGAGGCAAAGACCAAAGGACTGAGGAAGTCACTGCTCCAAGGGGTCAGGACAGCAGGTCTGTAAGGAACCTTGCTTCAAGAAAGGAGCATGGAGGACACTGTCCAGTTTCAACAATAAGGGACGACTATTTGGAAATTCAAGAGTGGTCTTTTCTCCAAGTGCTTCTAGGAATCTTCGCTGTGGGCCTCAAAATGATTCAGTGATAACTAGCTAACAGGTGAATAGATTGTTTGGTTTACAGGATACCTTTTCTCTTAAAAGTAGAAAAAGTGACACCTATTTACAAACTAGAATGGGATGAAACTGTCTTGAGAAAGGGATAAGCAAAGGAAAGACAAATCAAATCAAGGGAAGGAGGAAGAAAGGAAACAGAAGCTTACTCGGACTATGGCCAGGAGGCGAATGTAGTCACTCAGGAGCTCGGCAAGGAGGAAGAAGTCATTGTTGGCCTGTTCCTGGTGGAGCTGCTCAATTTTTTCTTCCACCTCAGCCAGCTGGGAGAGTGCCCGTGACAATGCCGTGTTGTCCTCGGAGCTCCCAAGCATGGCTAGACTCTTTGCAAACTGGGCTGTGTTCAGCGCTAGCTCTGGAAGGAGGAAAAGACAGCAGAGGCCTCTCTGATCTCACCAGGAAAAGGGACAAATCAGCCGACACTGCATGGCATGTCTTAGCAATGCTGCCCACTGCATGTCTGGCAACGGAGGGCTCTGCAATCCAGTCACTTACACCACAGTTAACTGTATTTGGAGAGGAAGGAGAATGTGGCCTGGTATAGGAGCAGGAGGAAGAAGCACCAGCTATCCTGAGTTTCACTGGGTTAGGCCTACCTGAAGGAAGCAGCTCCAATATCCCTAGAGAACCAAAGGCCAGTCATTGAATAACACAAACAGGCCAAAGGAACTATTCTTTTTTTTTTGAGATGGAGTCTTGCTCTGTCGCCCAGGCTGGAGTGTAGTGGCATAATCTCGGCTCACTGTAACCTCTGCCTCTCAGGTTCAAGTGATTCTCCTGCCCCAGTCTCCTGAGTAGCTGGGATTACAGGTGCACGCCACCATGCCCAGTTAATTTTGGTATTTTTTTTAGTAGAGATGGAGTTTTACCACGTTGGTGAGGCTGGTCTCAAACTCCTGACCTAGTGATCCGCCTACCTCAGCCTCCCAAAGTGCTGGGATTACAGGCATGAGCCACCGCACTGCCATAAATTATTCTTATATTTATGTTAAAGCTCATGAATGGTGGCCTGTATGTACAGGAGGCAAGAGTAAATGCATGTGAACACTGTAGAGTCCTGCATGTTCTAGAGCAGGCAAACTCTTTCTGTAAAGGAGCCGGATAATAAATGTTTTAAGCTTTGCAGGTTACACATAGTCTCTGCTACAGATTATTTTCTACCCCCATTCATTCCTTTAAAAATATAAAAACCTAAACTTATAGCTTATGGCAATAGGAACCAGGGCCAGATTTGGCCCATGGGCCAGATTATAGTTTGCCAACACTTATTTCCATTGGCCTCATGCTATGGGTCTTCTGTCTGTTTAGATTTCTAATTATCAGCATGTTTAAGGCAGAGAGGGAAAATATTCAAATTGGGAAAATTTCACTAGCTCTTAAGCAAATTTCCCTAAAGAAAAAAGAAGGATCAGGAGACAGGTGGTTTCCCTGCATTTACACATTGCTGGTTTGACTATGTAGCTAAAGCATGTATGACATCATTTTGGATATAAGCCATCAACTTGAAATCAACAGAAGCCTATATCCCCAGGTCACGCTGTATCTGGGACGGCTTCCCTGCACCCCTCCCAGGTAGAAAAGTACAATGCCCACAGTGGTTGAATCCTGTTTTCTGCTAGGCGATGCAAAGCATACCTTTTTTTTTTATCAGAACATCAAGGACCCAGTGGGCTGAGAATTTCAACTTGGATGGCTGAGTGGATTGGGAACAGCATGCCCTCCCATCTCCAGCTCACTGGAGACAACAATTTCCCCTAGCTCCAAGTGCATTTCAGAGGTTGTTACCTTTCCTATGGTTGACTAGAGTTTCTACAACAGCATGCAGTTTCCGTAAGCGCTGTTCCTCACACTCTACCTCCTGGAGCTTCTCCTCAAACCACTGAAACACAAAAGCCCAGAGCTTTAATGAGATTACTTCTATGGGTGCACTACAGTCTTTTCTCAGCAGTTGTTTTTTAAAAAGGGACTGAAATATTAACAAGTTTCTAATCTCAGAAATTTTAGGACTCCTTAGGGGTTCTGACCTATAAGCCTCAGGGGAAGGTGGAGGTAAGAGGAACAGGGCTACTCACAATGTCTGATTCATTCATCTTGATGGTCATTTTGCTGACAGCATCTGTGGCTTTATTGAACATCTTGAGGAGACCAGCACCACTCAGCGTCTGGGTACCCACGGCACGTGGCAGCTACAAGACCAAGAAGGCAGGAATGGCAAGTTATCTGCTAGTCCTATTTTAGGTTCAGAAGAATTAGTATCCATCAGATGGCATGCCCAAAACTTGCCAGACAATTATTTGAACTGTAAATTGTTTTCAAAGGCAGCCTGAGGAATCCACAACTAACATGGGCATAAAGAAAAATCAAAGAACCAGCCTGGGTGCGGTGGCTCATGTCTATAATCCCAGCACTTTGGGAGGCCAAGGCAGGTGGATCACAAGTCAGGAGATTGAGACCATCCTGTTCAACATGGTGAAACCCCATCTCTACTAAAATACAAAAAAAAAAACAAAAACTGGGCCGGGCGCGGTGGCTCAAGCCTGTAATCCCAGCAGTTTGGGAGGCCGAGGCGGGCGGATCACGAGGTCAAGAGATCGAGAATATCCTGGCTAACATGGTGAAACCCTTTCTCTAAAAAAAAAAAAAAAAAAAAATTAGCTGGACATGGTGGCACGCGGCCTATAGTCCCAGCTACTTGGGAGGCTGAGGCAGGAGAATTGCTTGAACCCAGGAGGCATAGGTTGCAGTAAGCCGAGATCACGCCACTGCACTCCAGCCTGGTAACAAAGCAAGACTCCCTCTCCAAAAAAAGAAAAAAAAAGAAAAATCAAAGAACCATGTTAAAAAGAATCAGCAACATTTTCAGCTTTTGATATTTTATACAGAAAAAAAGTGGACTGGGGTGTTATGTGACCAGGCAACCTAAAATTGAGATTGTCTGCCTACCCAGGAATGAAATGCTTAAGTACCAAGCATACTCTTGTTAAAAGTCAGACCTTCCCTTGGATTAGCATACTTTGTATACAACTGGGCTTAAAAGTCTTAAGAGACTAAAACTGTGCTGTGTTCGCATTTTCTTCAGTAAACAAATATCCAAGGACAAGGGAATTATTTATTCAGATCAAAGCTACTTTCAGGGATGACCTAGTAGCCAAGCATGCCAAATATTTAGAAACAATTTGATTGATGTTCAGTCTTCCCAGTACTCTCTAAGGCATGGAAAGGATGCTGAAGAATATATAGCATATACAGCACATTATGCTAAAATGTCAGATTTTACTGTTCAGGACTCTATGGCAGTAGTTCTTTTTTTTTTTTTTTTTTGAGACAGTCTTGCTCTTATTGCCCAGGCTGGAGTGCAGCGGCGTGATCCTGGCTCACTGCAACCTCTGCCTCCAAGGTTCAAGCAATTTTCCTGCGTCAGCCTCCCGAGTAGCTGGGATTGTAGGCATCTACCACCACACCCAGCTAATTTTTGTATTTTTAGTAGAGACAGGGTTTCACTATGTTGGCCAGGCTGGTCTCAAACACCTGACCTCAGGTGATCTGCCTGCCTCGGCCTCCCAACGTGCCGGGATTACAGGTGTGAACTATTGTGCCTGGCTCGGCAGGAATTCTAAACATGGGGCCACTTTGCTTCCTAAGGGATATTTGGCAATGTCTGGAGATGATTGTGGTTGTTATAATTAGGGAGGGGATGCTACCTGGATTTAGTGGGTAGGTACCAGGAATGCTGGTAAAATCCCCTGCAATGCAAAGTACGATCCTTACGACAAAGAATTATCTGACCGAAAGTGTCCACAGTGCTGCTACAGACAAACCCTGCTTAGAGGTATGGAGTAGAGACGAGAGGGTGAAAAGGAAGAGGGATTTAGGAATATCCACAGGAGAAGACCAAAAGGTTTCAAGCATTTGACAAGGAGTTTTTAATTAAAACAGTTCATTAAAAAAAATCTCATTTATTTAGTATCATTTTCTTCACTGGAATAACACATACTATATACAAATGAAAGAAAAATTTAAAAATAAAAATTAAACAAAACGACAGCCCTACCCGGTCACTTACTTCCTTCTAGTTTGCTTTCCTGTGAGATAAAACATTTTACTCCAGTGTTTCTTTTGATCCCTAATGACTTACATGTTTCTTTCTTTATTTTTTTTTTTTTTATTTTTTTTTTTAGATGGAGTCTCACTCTGTTGCCCAGGCTGGAGTGCAGTGGCGCAATCTCAGCTCACTGCAACCTCCACCTCCCAGGTTCAAGCAATTCTCTGCCTCAGTCTCCCAAGTAGCTGGGATTACAGGCACACGCCACCATGCCAAGTTAATTTTTGTATTTTTAGTAGAGACGAGGTTTCACCATCTTGGCCAGGCTGGTCTTGAACTCCTGACCTCATGATCTACCCGTCCCAGCCTCCCAGTGTGCTAGGATTGTAGGCATGAGCCACCGTGCCCACCCTACAGCTGTATTTATATGCTATTTCAGGTTTTACATTTTATAATTCTTTTAATGTATGCTTCCATGTACTAACATTTCTGTATACTTTGTTTACGATGAGAACCAAGTATTTGTTGTATTGATATATTTTATGTAATTCTTCCACTGTTAGCAATTGGGCTGTCTCCAATTTTTGACAATCATGACTAGCTTATGCGTGGACTGTAAAAAAAAGACTGTCTACTTCAATTAACACTTTTGCTACACGGCAGTTCTGTGGTTTGTGCTAACTGATTTTTAACCAATGCCCCGCCTCACATAAAATATGCATTCAATTTGAGCCAAGAAGTAACCTACAGCATGCCAACGGCCTGCCAAAGAGATCACTGTGTTGATCCAGTAAGACAATGCTAGGCTGCCATTTGACCTCTACAACCAATTGCTTTTGATTACAGGCAGAGCTTCTTTTATTTCAAAGGCTGAAAAATACCTGTCACTCTCAGGGGCTCACACAAAAGTAGGATATAGTCTGGTACTAGGCATGTTAAGTGCTCACATAGTTTTAGAATGAACCAGTTTCATTTCACTAGGGGCAGATATAAATTGTGAAATTCAGTTTGCACTGAATACTAACCTCTTCTTTTTCTAAGAACTCTCTGACGTCAGGGTCCTGTAACATGGTAGGATGATTCACAATCCTCTGAAGGTACCTAAAACGTAAGCAGTTATCATCTGGTTAGTTGAGCTGGCCTCAGAAGGTTCTGGGTGTCACACAGTGCTAGCAGTGATGCCATGTCTTTTGTTACTTAAAGTGCCCTCAGAGGTGGAGGTTACAGTGAGCCGAGATTGCACCACTGCACTCCAGCTTGGGCGACAGAGCGAGACTCCATCTCAAAAAGAAAAAAAAGTCCTCAGATAAGGCACTTAAGTAGGACTCTCCTTTTGTAAGCATATTCAAGTTCACATTCTTGATATTTCCAAAAACACACAGAAAAACAACTGGTCAAAAAGAAACCTCAGAGCCATTCATATTTGATTGCCTAACAGTATGACTGCCTGCTTACTGAGGATAGGGATAAAACAGAAGATGGTCTATTCCCAAGGTGGGAAAATAAGCAACTCAGGAAATGGTAAGAGACGATAAGGAGGTTTGCAACTTCAATTCATTTAAGTTTCATCTCTAACTCAATGGACTGTCTCATCATTAAGACTCACTTTCAGCTTCTTACTTGTGCTCACGTTATTGAGGAAAATGGCTGTACAGCACTTACCTTTCTAAAGCGGCCCTCCGTTTTTCAAGAAATTCTGCAGAAGATGAATCTTCCTTCCCAACTTTCACTTTTGTCATTCCTAGAATGGAATTTCAAAAGCAAAATAACTATAAATCTTTTATTTTTTTATTTTTATTTTTTTGGACCTCCTAGAGCCCTTGCTAAAACAGAATTAACCATAAATCATCATGAAGAGGATAACTCTGTTTTTTTTTAAAGTGTCAACAGGAGGAAAGGCAATGAGGCTAGCACTACAAAACACAACCCAAGACTGCTTCTATGTTATGTGCAAGGATGAGCCAAAGCTTCTTTACATGACAGACATTTTTGAAAACTAGTCTCCAGGTGCTGAAAGTTCTAAACTCTGGGACTTGCAGAGTATACATCTTCTTAAAAAGGGGGCCATGGAACCTGAGTACAAACATCAACTGATGTTCATGAAGAGGTTCCTTCCTCTGACCCCAAATCCAATTTAGTATATTTAAATCTGGAGGGAACTGCAATCATTTAAGACTTCCTAAAGACCAAGAGAAAACAAACCAACAAAGCAACTCTGGAGGCTAAACTCAGAGACTCTACTGCACCCAAGAAGAGAACAGGCCAAAATATGCAATTTTTCTCTGGACCTCCAGGGTAGGAAAACACTGGAAATGTCTCTTTTCTAACCACAAGACTGTTAATAGAAGTGGTCTCATACACTAAACAGTAAGTGAATTTTGGAGAGAATGCAAAGGAAAACAATCCCAGTGGAATGAAGGACCACAGGCTTACCTATGAGGCTCTTCTCCGGTGGAGGAGGGACAATGAAGCCATTCTGGGAGTGCTTCTCTGAAAGCTTCTCATAAAGACCAAGAAAGTCACTAAATCTTCTTTTTACCGCAAACTGTTTACTTCTGAATAATGGTAAGCTTGTCTTGGGGACAGGAAAAAACACAAAGCAATTTCATTCCAAATAGGGGATGATATCTTGAAAGCCATCCAACTGACATTAAAGAAACCCATTTCCCAGATCCCTAACCTTCCATCACCTGGTGAATAGCTTTCTCCAAGGTCTTAAACTTTTAAAAACTATAGTTCCCCCTTTGGCAGTCTGGGAGCTTAAGGAGCTCTTCTCAGAATAATGATTTTTAAATGCATAAAATATATAGGATTATAAAGACAACCAATTAAATTCAAACACATCTGAAGCCATGTTGATCTTTGAGAAAAAAATTTCAAATACAGTTTCATTCCCAGGTTAAGAACTCTTGCTCTAAAGAAAGATATGTTCAGTTCTAGTTTAAAGCTAGAATTCTACAGTAACCAGTAACTCATTCATCCTTCATTGGCTTTTTTTCTGGAGACAGGATCTCACTTTGTCATCCAGGCTGGAGTGCATTGGTACAATCACAGCTCACTGCAGCCATGAACTCCCAGGCTTAAGTGATCCTCCTGCCTCAGCCTCCCAAGTAGCTAAAAATACAGGCACACGCCACCATGGCCAGCTCATCCTTCATTGCCTTTTTATTTATTTATTTTTGAGATAGGGTCTCACTCTGTCACCCAGGCTGGAGTGCAGTGGCACAATCTTGGCTCACTGCAACTTCCACTTCCCAAGTTCAAGCAATTCTCTTGCTTCAGCTTTCCAAGTGGCTGGGATTACAGGCGTGTGCCACCATGCCTGGCTAATTTTTATATTTTTAGTAGAGATGGGGTTTCACCATGTTGTGTCTTGAGGTCCTGACCTCAAGTGATCTACCCACCTTGGCCTCCCAAAGTGCTGGGATTACAGGTGTGAGCCGCTGCGCCCGGCCTTATTGACTTATTTAAGGGCATTAGCTCCTAGAATTATAGTGGCCAAACCAAAGACAAACAAAAAGTGCTTCTAACAAGGGGAAGCAGGTGGGAAGCAGGATAGGAATCGGATGAAATGTCTAAGCTGTAGACACCATCCTCTAAAGTATCATAATCTAGAGCTCACAAGACGCAGGCCAACAACTAATAGAGAGACAATACAAAGCAGACTCCTAGCAAAAAAGGTTAGGCCTACATCACAATGAGGGTTCACTTTATACTTACCAGATAGGCAAAATTTAAGGAGGTTGGCCTCACCAATTGCTAGCAAGGAAGTGAATCAGTGGGAACTTTTATACACTGCTGATGGGGGTATAAATTGGTACAAAGACTTTAAAAAACAGTTTGTATTCCTTGTGTCCAATATTTGCTGTACCTATGACCCAGGGGAATTACTCCTGGTTACATACTCTAGGGAAACCCTTCCACGTGTGCACTAGAGACATGCAAGAAAGTTCCCATTTACAAAAACTGGAAAATGTTGACAGCAGAAAATGTTCACAATAGGAAAACACAAATATTTTGTGGTATATCAACTAACTAAAGCTATGACCATCAAGGATGGGTACGAGAAAAAATGCTCAATAAAGCAAGCACAATTATCAGCATGATACTATTTTTATGAAACTCAAAACAAAGCAAACAGTCTAATATATATCTATATATGTAAAGATTTCTTACAAAGGAAATGAGAGACAACTCAGGAGAAAGGTTGCCTCTAAGGTATGAGGCAGGGGATACGATGGAGATACATGCAGGTGGATTCACTGGTACTCAAGACTAGTGGTAAGTTTAGGGCTTCATTTATTATGCTTCATAACTTGTATGCAACATTGTGTACATTTTGTATGTATTAATATTATACACAAAAGGAGACCAGACCAGGGGAGCAAAAGGTTAAGTATTAAAAGAAGCTCTCTGAAACCTCAGAAGCACTGAAGATTTTAAAAGATAGTTTAGAGCAATCTGCGAATCTAGCTCCAAACCATACAGTTCTCTAAAAGGGATGGGGCTGTATCAGATACACCACATGACTTAATAGAACAAAGTTTCACACTGAAACGTTAGCTCTCTGGAAAAGTATTAAAAAGACTCAGTCTGGAGCACCCAGATGAGATTACCAAGGGGGATGCAGGCCTGCTCCATCCTGAGTAAACATGAAGATGTTGGCAAAGAAACAAAGGAGATACCCAGAAATAATCTGAATGATGATCTTGGTATAAGCACCAAGGTCTATGAAGATGGTCATCAGCAGGGTCACCTGGACTCACCTGTGTTGTAACTTTGTAGGCTACATATGCATTCATACCATCCCCTGTGGGAGAACAAGAAAGCAGGAGAAGATTATCTTGTAAACCAAAGCAGTGCCAATTCAGCTAACATTTAACCAGGAATCATACACCATAGGAACCCTGGATAAGAAGGGATGCTCGTTTCATCCCCAAGCTTTATATGCAATCCTAGAATCCAGTTTCTACTTTGCCTCAGGGCCTCTGTGACACATAGCAAGCCCCCATGGATGCTGGCTGGGCCCCAGTTTGAGTTACACAAGAGAGTCAGCCCTCTGTTCCAAAGCCAGGCTCCATTTATACCCTCCACAAAGCAGCACTGGATACTGACAATCCGTCAGTTGTTACCATGCCAATATTTGGGCTGCTTACACACATCTGTCCGAAACCAAACAATTCTCTTGCTGTATAAAGCAGGAGGAGAAGGAAGCAACTGATGTAAAAGGAAACAAGTAGTTCTACCCTAGGCTAGCTAGCTCTGGGCTTGATTTGCTCTTTCAGAAATAGCGTCACAACCCCCTCCAATGGTGCTGGGGGTGGGGGGACACTGACCTTTCTGATCTAGCATGTTCACCAAGAGTAAAGGGCCTGGCAGGAAGACACTTTGACTACCTAATGTCACACAAATCTCCCTTTCCTGGAGGAATTATTTTTATGAAAAAGCCTTTGACTGTTAAATAATTTGGGATTCTAGCTACTGTTTTTTTCTCTGTGGTGATGTCCTGACCTAGACCACTTAAAAAGATAAAGATGCCATTGATACCCTGAACACTGAAAAGACATATTCTGGAGTCCAAACAGACACAGCTCCAGTGCTGGACTATGGTGTCTGGGGTTGGTTTTGTTCCCTGCCTCCCCGACCCTTGATTCCTTCCCATACCAAACAGGAAAACCTAGGTCAACAATTACCAGCTGCTCAAGCCCCTGAACTGGTTCTGGGGTGAAGGGCCAGGGGAAGGAAGAACAGACAGTACTGGATCAGCAGGGTCACACATTACAGCTTGGTTTCAATAAGATGGCTGAAAATGCCTGTAAAATTTACCAAGAATTTGAAGTTTACACAGGAATAGATGGCTTGTCTGCTGTACTTCCCCAGCCCCTACCCAGAGTATATATAAAACAGAAACCATAAGCTAAACTTTAGAAATTACTTTATACTGATTACCAACTTTAGTTCTTTTCTAAACCACCTTACTAAATTATCCAATACTACCAAGGATGTTTCCTACTGATAAAAAAAAAAAAAGAAATCTAACTTTATAGAAGTAATATTCAAAATTTCATTCATAGCAGAATAGTTATGGTTAAATGTCTAGGAAGTCAATCCCATAATTTAGTGCCTGCAATTAACAAAGTCTAAATGCAAACACAGAGAAAATAGAAGAGGCAAGATCTTTAGATATTTTGTTTCTCAGCTGCTTTTATTTAGGCAATGTACATGAAAAGAGACATACTGCATGTACATAGCACAGATCTGCAAATGAGCTAGTAATACAAGGTTTTAAATTTATGTAAATTTCCAGAATAATTTCAGAGTTGAAAATAACACATGCAAATTACCAAGGTTCTAACAAGAATATCCTGGTAAAAGTTAAATTCTCAATTATTTAGATGTGTGCAGGAACAAGAAGCACATGTTGAATAAACAGCCCACACAAACAGAATGTGTTGTTATAAAGATCAGGCCTTGAATATGAAAATATTTTAATTAGCTGGTTTCTTGGCATCAACATGACTAAGAATCTAGACTACAGTGCAAGGAGATGAAAGCTTATCCTCAAGAGTGATTTGTGTTTAAATATATCTGATCCATGGGATATTTAAATTACTCTCTGTTATGGGATAAATTGTGTCCTCTTCAAAATAGGTATGTTTTAGGTTCTAACTCCCAGTTCCTCAGAATGTGAGCTTATTTAGTAACAGGGTCTTTATGGATGTAATCAAGCTAAAATGAAGACATTAGGATGGGCCCTACTCCACTCAGGTTGGTGTCCTTATTTGTTAAAGGGGGAATGTGCACACAGTAATAGGCATGCATAGAAGGAAGGCAGCATGGAGACACTTAGAAAGAATGCCATGTGACAGTGAAAGCAGAGACTGAAGTGATGCCTCCACAACCCGAGGAAGGCCTGAGGCTGCCATAAGCTGTGAGAGAGGCATGAACAGTCATTCTCTAGCACTCTGCCAACACCAGGATTTGAGATTTCTGGCCTCCAAAAGAGTGAGAAATTTCTGTTGTTTCAACCAGTTTATGGTACTTTGCTACAGCAGCCTTAGAAAACCAGTATGTTCCCTCTCCAGGTTCAGACATCATGACGTGGTACATTTTAAGACAATTGGTGCCATTCATTCATCTTATTCCACCAAGGATTTAAAGCAGCAAATAACTAGCTTAAAATTAATGTGTTTAAAGAATATTCATAAATATTAGAGAAACAAGAGAGAATCTAGGCATATAATGCAAAGTCCTGGTCCAGGCTCTACCATGGAAAGCTATTTCCTTTTTGGTCCTTGGTGTCCTATATTGTTAGATGACAGAATTGTATAACATGCTCAAAAAATTCCCACCAGTGTAACAGTCTGGGGAAAGTAAAACTCAACAGTTCAAATTAATTTTTTTTTTTGGAGACAGGGTCTTCCTCTGTCACCAAGGCTAGAGCGCACAGGCATGATCTTGGCTCACTGCAGCCTTGACCTTCCAGGCTCAAGTGATCCTCCCACCTCAGCCTCCCAAGTACCTGAGACTACAGGCATGTACCACCATGCTTCTGTAATTTTTTGTTTTTTTTGTAGAGACAGGCTCATTTTTTACTTTTTGTAGAGACATGGTCTTGCCATGATGGGCAGGTCGGTCCCAAACTCCTGGGTTCAAGTGATCCTCCTGCCTTGACCTTCCAAAGTGCTGGGATTACCTGCATAAGCCACTGCACCTGGCCTAAAGTCAACAGTTTAATGACAACCATTTTGGCCAGAGACCAGGTTAGGCAACATGGTGAAGCCATCTCTACAAAAATACAAAAAAACTAGCCAGGCATGGTGATGTACACCTGTAGTCCCAGCGACTCAGAAGGCTGAGGTGGAAGGATCACCTGAGCCTGGGAGGTTGAGGCTACAGTGAACTGTGATCACACCCCTGCACTCTAACATGGGTGACAGAGTGAGAGCCCGTCTAAAAAAAAAAAAAAGAAAAAAAAAAAGACAACAATTTTAGCAGAAAGTCCAACAAAGTCCTATCCTTAGTTCCAGATAGACCAAGGGTTGAGAATTACATTTGTCCTCTTAACTGTATGAACACTACTCCTGTTAGGAAGACAGGCTGTATAACCTCTTCTGTAAGGAACCACAGCTGGAACAAGGAAAGCCTATTGTTCTCCATGCAGTGATAATGCTTGCAAGCTTGGGAGGAGAAAGCTATCCTAAAAATCCAAGTCCAGTCAAAGTTAAGTGTTATGCTTTTTGAAGATCTATCTCCAATTTGAGTACAATTAAACCTGGGTCCCGCAGACAAAGACTTCTCCATCTCATAAGGTTATCAAGAATATATGTATAAAACAGAGTTTCAAACTTCTTGAGGGGAAAAAATAAGTTCAGTATCCCTCAATTTTAGAATATTATATTTTTAGGGTGCTTACACGTAATTTACTATCTCAAAAAACAGTAAAATGGTCTTATCAACTCTGAAGGAGAAGACAATGTTTGGGTTTTTAAAAATTTTTTTGAGACAGAGTCTTGCTCTGTCACCCAGGCTGGTATGTGGTGGTATGATCTTGGCTCATTGTAGCTTCTGCCTTCCGGGTTCAAGCGATTTTCTGGCCTCAGCCTCCTGAGTAGGTGGGATTATAGGCACACACCACCACACCTGGCTAACTTGTATTTTTAGTAGAGGCGGGGTTTCACCATGTTGGCCAGGCTGGTCTTCAACTCCTGACCTCAGGTGATCTGCCTGCTTCAGCTTCCCAAAGTGCTGGGATTACAGGTGTGAGCCACCGTGGCCGGCCTATTTGAGTTTTTAAAAAGAGACTCTAGCTCGGTGGTTCATGCCTGTAATCTCAGTGATTTGGGAGTCTAAGGAGGGAGGATCACATGAGGCCAGGAGTTTGAGACCAGCCGAGGCAATATAGCAAGACCCTGTTTCTACAAAAAAAGCAATTAGTCGGCATGGTAGCACGTGCCTGTAGTCCCAGCTACTTGGGGGGGTGGAGTGGCTGAGGCGGGAGGATTGCTGAGTCCAGGGGCTGGAGGTGACCGTGAGCTATGATCGTGCTACTGTGCTCCATTCTTGGTAACAAAATGAGACCTTGTCTCTAAAAATACCAGAAGAATAAAAATAAAAACAGATTCTAGTAGTATTTGATGACTAATTTTTCTTCCTAAAGCCAAGAAAAGACTGACTAATGCACTAAGTAACTATAGACTCTGGCTGTAGAAACATAGCAAGGGGTCTACTTTTACAGGAAAGATACTAATGAACTATTTCACATTGGCTAGTTTGACTCTGAGGGTAGCCATCCTGAAATTAGCTACCTATGCTTTCTACAGCCACACCCTAACATCACAAGGAGTACTAAGAACACTTACCTATCTTCTCAGGATCAGTTATACCGACTGTCAAATCAAATTGGTCCTCCTGTTCTTCTTCCTCTAGCTTTTTAAAGAAAAGACAAATCATGAGAGTTAATATAAAAAAGCTATTAATTTTACCCTGTAATAACCTTATACCAATCTAATAAAATCAAGATGTATCTTTCAGTGTTCAGCTTTTGTTCATTCCCAACAATTCCAATGAACCAACTCTCAAAATTTTAAATTAAGAGCCAGCTTACAAGTCTTTGTTACATCTATTCCCTTAAAATCTTATTTTGATGACAATGAAGACTTGCCTCTTGCAGGCTAGGAATGGAGTGAGGAGAAACTATACTCTTGAATATGGAAGTTTCACACACTAAGTATCTTTTTTTTTTTTTTTTTGGGACGGAGTTTCGCTCTTGTTACCCAGGCTGGAGTGCAATGGCGTGATCTCGGCTCACCGCAACCTCCGTCTCCTGGGTTCAGGCAATTCTCCTGCCTCAGCCTCCTGAGTAGCTGGGATTACAGGCACGCGCCACCATGCCCAGCTAATTTTTTGTATTTTTAGTAGAGACGGGGTTTCACCATGTTGACCAGGATGGTCTCGATCTCTTGACCTCGTGATCCACCCGCCTCGGCCTCCCAAAGTGCTGGGATTACAGGCGTGAGCTACCGCGCCCGGCCTAAGTATCTTTAGTAACCATTGAAAGCCTTTCTGCTCTGGGCAATAGATACTCTGCCCAAGAAAGACTCCTGTATTGCATTTTGGCTGTCCAGTAACCATAAAGATCTCCTTCAAGAGTCATAAATATTTTCTCAAGGTTCATACTCAACTGCACTTCAGATTAGCAGCACACAATCCTGAATATCTAAAAGTGATAAGACCATCGGCACAGATTCTCACCTCCTCATAGGTTGGCTGGGGCTTTGAAGAATTTGTGGCTTCCTGTGGAGGAAGAGAAACGAGCGTTTTGGCCGGCACCTTCTTCTGATTATTTTGTGTGCTGTCCAAGGATAGCTCCACTGTGGCATCTAAAAACAGTTGATATTTTTAAATGAAGGTCAGTAATGGGTCTGTGAAGGCTAAACTTGAGTTCTATAGGCTAAGAACTTATAAGAACAATAGCAAGCACTCTTAATACATAGAGGCTCTCAGACTAAGAGTCATAAAATGTGTTCAAGGAGAAAAGGGGAGGATGGTAAGGGAAATGTTCTTCTAGCACAGGCTTAGTAGAACAACTTCCTTCTCCTTTCCCAATACAACCACTTGGCTACCCTCTCCTGCCTAGAATTTAGGGAAGAACCAACGATAAGCAAAAAGACGACACAGCCAAAATAAGTTTATCAATTTTATTTTATTTCTTAAAAATATTGATTGATTGATTAATTGATTGAGATGGCGTCTTGCTCTGTTGCCCACGCTGGAGGGCAGTGGCATGATCTGGGCTCACTGCAACCTCTGCCTCCCGGGTTCAAGTGACTCTCCAGCCTGAGCCTCCTGAGTAGCTGGTACTACAGGTGTGCACCACCATGCCCAGCTAATTTAGTTTACCGATTTTAATCTTAGGAGTATTCCTTTAGAGCATTATATGAACCCTGTTTATTTTTGTTACAATTGTTTGTAAAAGAAGTTCAGATACTTGCTTTACACACCAGTATGATAGAAGAGGCAGGCATACTGACAGGAAAAAAATGACATCAAAGGAAGAGTCAGGAAAACTATAAGCTAGAAAGAAAATGGAGCAAGATACAAACACAGCAACATTTGGGAAAGGGCAGTTTTCCATACCTGAGGACAGCACTGTTTTTTTTTTAGCATGGTTTAAGAATTTTTCATAATATTTTAGATCTCCTTGTAAAGGTTAAATTATACTTAATATATGCTATCCAATTTGGAAAAAAAACACATGTAGTATCTGAAAATCTTTGGCTATCTGGGGAGAACTCAGTTGAACAGAACGACTCATTCTCTCAGTGTTCCAGAGAAGGGACTTTAAAAATAGCATTATGTACCATTTTTAGGCATTAAAATTTTTTATCCAAATAAAAAGAATGCACTTTCAACTTGGAGCAATGGAACTAGATGCTCTAAGCCTAAACAGTTCAAACTCTTCTTTTTAGTAATGAAAAATGTAAATATCCATTTGGGTTTGGTCTGATCAGTAGGTATTCTATTTTAGTCTTAGGAAATTCAAAGAATGCTGTTTTTTCTTCTTTTCCACTTGGAGCTAAAACAAAATTATGGTTTATGTGTATATGCCTATATGCATAATCAAGTTCCAGATCGGTGTTCTAATCATCAAATGTGAATCATGTCTGCAAACAAGGTTGCCACACTGTTAGAAATGAAATCTGATCCCTATCAGGAAAGCAAGAAAGGTGGTAATCTGACTCTGGGGTGGGAGTATAAAACAAACAAGCAAAAAAGTAAAGCTGATCCTTACACAATACAGGTTTGAACTGCATGGGTCCATTTATACATGAATTTTCTTTTTTTGTTGTTATTATGGGTCCATTTATACATGAATTTTCTTCATTATTATTATCATTATTTTTTTGAGACGGAGTCTTGCTCTGACACCAGGCTGGAGTGCAGCGGCATAATTTCGGCTCACTCCAACGGCCGCCTCCCAGTTCAAGTGATTCTTCTGCCTCAGCTTCCTGAGTAGCTGGGACTACAGGGGTGCGCCACCATGCCCGGCTAATTTTTGTATTTTTTAGTAGAGACGGGGTTTCACCATGTTGGTCAGGATGGTCTCGATCTCTTCACCTCATGATCCGCCCACTTCAGCCTCCCAAAGTGCTGGGATTACAAGCGTGAGCAACCGCGCCCAGCCTTTTATTATTAGTATTTTTAAATTTTTCACAATGTCAGCCCCAATTTTTTTTTCCTAATTTTTATACATGAATTTTCTTCTGCCTCTGCCACCCCGAGACAGCAAGACCAACCCCTCCTCTTCCTCAGCCTAGTTACTCAATGTGAGGATGGTAAGAATGAAAACATTTATTATGAACCACTTCCACTTAATGAAAAGTAAATATATTTTCCTTTCTATGATTTTCTTAAGAACATTTTCTTTTCTCTAGTTTTCTTTTCTCTAGCTTACTAGCTAACTTACAAAAGACATGTTAATTGATTATCTTATTGGTAAGGCTTCCAGTTCACAGTAAGCTATTAGAAAAGTTTTGGGGAAGTTATGAACAAATTTTTGACTAGGCCAGGGTCAGACCAACCCCTAACCCCTGCATTGCTCGAGGATTAACTATACATATAATGAACATGTTAGGCTGTTAGGAGTCTCTGAAACAAGCACCAGTTGAAGTATGTGTGGCATATTCACCATCATGGAGGTCCCACACAAATAATTCGGTTAATAAACATGTTGGGAAGTGAAACAGGAATTATCACTCACTTAAAATATTTGGCTTATTAGAATGCTACCAAAAACCTTTTGCCAGCCTGGGCAACACGACAAAAAGCTGTCTCTACAAAAAACAAAACACACACACAAATATTAACCAGGCATGGTGGCCCCCACCTGTAGTTCTAGCTACCAGGAGGTTGAGGGGGAAGATCACTTGAGCCTGAGAGGTTGAGGCTGCGGTGAGCCATGACCATACCACTAAAGTCCAGCCTGGGCAACAGAGTGAGACCCTGTCTCAAAAAATAATAATAATTAATAAAACCTTTTGAAGAGCTGTGCGTCTTCTACTGAAATTCATGTGATAAAGATGCCAAAACTTATATTAGAACATGCTTTTTTTCTTTGAACTCCAGTTAAGAGTAATGGAAAAGCATTCAGGCTCCATCAGCGACTCTGATCATCACTAGATTTATCATTTAAAAAATGAAATCAGAACACTTAAGTTTTCACAGTCAAATATTTAAAACAACTGAGAAGTTCCTGAAGTCCTAAACTAAATGTCTCATTGTAGACATTCCATTGTAGAGATATCTTATGTTCCTTTCTTAGAAGTGAGGCAGGTCTTGGCTACTTACAAAACTGGTGGAGGAATGAAGTAAATCAGAATCCTTATTACTAACAAATATGTCCCTAATAAAGATCTACATATTCATGTGCATAGAATGCAATCACTGGGTAATCATCACACTAAAATATCAAGTCTTCTTATAAGGAAAGATCATATAAATATTAAGGTCCCAAAGATAGAAAATTCACTTTCTTTTCAATCTGTCATATAACCAAAGAAAATTTATTATTTCTCTTCATATCATTTATCCTCCAGAACTTTAAAAAAAAATTTTTTTTTAACAGAGATGAGGTTTTGCTATGTTGCCTAGGCTGGTCTTAACTCCTGGGCTCAAGCAATCCTCCCACCTTGGCCTCCCAGAGTGCTGGGATTACAGGTGTGAGCCACTGTGCCTGTCATCCTTCAGAAATTTTATCCAAAAAATAATCAGTACCAGAATGAATACTATATATTTAAATTTCAGGGATGAAGGGAAGTGGAAAATCTCAATTTTTATATTCCTTCTTCTAACCTCTTCTTCCCTTGTATGTCTTTTAAATTTCCTACTGGACTTCTAATGTGAGAATCGTCCCAAGATCTTACCCTCTACCCTCTTTTCTCCCTCCACACCGTTCACTCTTTGAAGATCTCGTTCACATGGAAGTTTCAACTACCACCACTAGAAAGATGATTCCCATATGTCCAGTTATTTTCTTTCCTCAGGTAGGAAAGAAAAGTTCGAGTTCAAGTCACCTCCTGGGTATATCCCTTTGCATTTCAAACTTAAAGTACCTAAAACCAAAGCTAACTTTTTTTCCCCAAAGCCAGTTTCTTCTTTAGAATGTGGTTCTACAATGATACCATTTACTTCTCAATCCTTGGACTTAAGACCTTTGACGTGGTCATCAATCCCCATTTTTTTGACACCCATTATATTCAATCACTAAAATCAGATTTTATTGATTTCCCTTTTGAAAAGGTTTTCGCCTTTCCTTTCCTGCTTTTATTACCTATGTTCAGTCTTTGCCATTTCATCTTTGAACTAATTTGTCATTGCCTTCTAAAAACTCTCTGCTCTCTGCCCACTGCAACTAATTTAATAAAATTCCAATTCCACTAGGTCAGTTTTCCTAAATCATTACTTTCACATTCCTTACACAAAGCTGCCAATGGTTTTTAATTGGCATTAAGATGAAAATCCAGACTCGAATTATTAATGTCTAAGGTCCTTCAATATCTGTTCCCAAATTACATTTCCAGCCTTATCTTCCATGACTTCTCCAAGAATGTCCTGTTGTGGTCCACCTTTACTGACTTGCTGCTCAAACATGCCTTATACTTCCTGCCCAACCATGGGGCCCTTTTTTCCTTTCCTCCTATATAAATGCTGCTTCTTCTAAGATCACTTTATTCATTTATTTATTTTTGAGATAGAGTCTTGCTCTGTTGCCCAAGCTGGAGTGCGGTGGCATGATCTTGGCTCACTGCAACCTCCACCTCCTGGGTTCAACCAAGTATCCTGCCTTAGCCTCCTGGGTAGCTGGGAGCACAGGCATGCACCACTGTGCCCAGCTAATTTTTTGTATTTTTCAGTAGAGACAGGATTTCACTATGTTGGCCAGGCTGGTCTTGAACTCCTCACCTCAAGTGATCCATCCGTGTTGGCCTCCCAATGTGCTGTGATTACAGGTGGAAGCCACTGTGCCTGGCCCAAGATCACTTTAGACCAGGGGTTTTTCAACATTAGGACTACTGACATTTTGGGCTGAATAATTCCTTGTTGTGAGGGCCTGCCTGGTGTATAGAGTGTTTAGGCAGCATCCATGGCCTCTACCTACTAGATAACAGTAGCACTCCCAGCTGTGACAACCAAAAATGTCTCCAACCATTTCCAAATGCCTTCTAGGGGGCAAAAGCACCCACTCTGTTGAGAACAGGGCAGCTCCCATCAACAAAGAATTATCCAGCCCAAAATGTTAATAGTGCCAAGGTTGAGAAACGGTCCTATACTAGTGTTTTTCAAACTGGAGGTTACAGCTTGTTGATAGATTGTGAAATCAATTCATTGGGTTTCAAAGAGCACTAAAAAAGGAAACAACAAAAAGTTTCAGGTTGTATTAGTAGTAGTAAGGGCAAGTCATTTAATAAAACAAGTCATTTTGTTTTGGTTTTATACCACTATGTCCATATTTTGGATTACACCACCAAATGCATTTCTTATTCCTAGTCTTGGTCATCCAAGGCTACAGGCACTGCTTTAGTCACTGGTCTTACACTCCTCTGAGCTCCTGTGACTTAGTATTTCTATCATTCCTCCAGCTACATTTCTATTATTGTTTAACAGTTTAACTTGCCTTCTTAAACAGTTGTGTATTTATGTCTTACTCCCTAAATCTGAAAGAATCTCGATGGCAGGGCCTGTATTTCATCTAGTTTGGAATCCTCCACAAAAATATTTTACATAAAGTTATGTTCCCAGTGCTTTTCTTTTGGTTTTGACTTTAACTCAGCAACTTGACAAAGCCATTTGGGAGGTTTCTAGAATAACTTTTGAGTCTAAACTTGCCTGCAAAGAGATCCTGTGGCTCTTGGTCTTGTTCTTCATGGATCCCATTTTCTTTGGAGCCATTGTTGATAGGAAAAAGGGATGTAGTTCTCTTTGGAGACTGGTGCTTACTCTGAAAACAAAGAGATACTGTGAATAAAACATTACCATGAAAAACAAACCCAACTTGCCTAGAAAGCAACTTTTAATGCCTCCTTCAATCGCCACCAGTCAACCAGTTCAATAAACAGCAAATCATTATTAGTAATGTAAGTGCTGCCCAGGTAATGACAGAGCAAAAGTAAGTCCATACATTTTAGGGTTAATTTCTGACAACATAACCTTGCTAAAATGCCCTATCCCAAAGCACGTGATACCAACATGGGTATGTGTACACACAGATAATTTGCAAAAGAACCTGTCCAAATGTATTTCTCTTTCTAAGTTGATGACCTTTGTTCTTTCAAATGCTGACTGTGCACATTCTAGTGACCAGGATACCTCACTAGAGTCCAGAATTCAAGCTCTGACCCATGCTTACTTTGTGGCCCAGGCTAAACAGTTAACTGAAGCCCAGTTGTATGGATATTACCAACCCATCTGACACGCAAAGGAAGGTATAACACTACGTTCTAATGCTGTTTATAAGTCTAATTTATCTTTTCATTCTTAACTCACACAGATATAATTTTCAATAGCACCCTGTGTCAAGCTAGGAGAATAAAAACTAGTCATACTAAGCCTAGTGGGTACATGGTGAAAATACAGTCAGTTCATGGCCTTTATTCAAAGCTCAGTGATCAGCCTCAAACAAGGGTGGGGTGGGTCCCCAGACCGGTACCAGAGTGAACAAAGCTGGATTGTGCAGAACATGAACTGAAAGCTGAGAATCTGGCTTCAAAAGCTGTGCTGTGGTATTGCAGGGTTTTGAAGTCAGACCCTAAGGGCAAATCAGTTAAAAGACCTGGCTTAAGGAAACTTTTATGAAACATTTCCTTAACAAATCTGAGAAAGTTTGTTCCTTGGAGACAGACCTTTTCTGACCCAGTGAACAAAGTGAAATGACAGATCTATTTGGGTATTCTAAATTTGCAAATAGCTTCATCCAAATATTGGGGCCACATTTCAGAAAAGAAACTCTTTAGCTGGTCTGAAGGTAGTGAGTTAACTCAATTGATGGTTCACAGTCAGTTACAGATCAAACTCCTTGTTTGATATTTCCCCACTTCTCACTACTGCACTTGACTAGTCTTAAATTTTTTTAAAGAAAAAAGAACAAGAAAAGAAACATACCAATATTTAGACTTATAAGAACAAACAATCCTTCTACTAGAACTAGTCTATGCTAATGAAGTTTCATGAACATTTAGTTGTGTAAGCTTAAATGCTGTTCCAAGTCTGTTAAGTGGTCCTGCCCTCTAGCTGCTTCGACAATCTTGAAAACAAAACTGAAAAATCACTGCAGAAAGACAGAGACAGGATGAGTACAAAAGCAGTATTTCCCTTTTGCTTCACACATCACCAATCACCAACCACCTTCTTCCACAACTACTTCCTTCCCACACTCTTGCACAGTACACAGATCTCATACGAAGCCACCTGATTTCATGCACTTCCCACTGACACCAGTCATCTCCAAATGGAGATCTATGAGATTAAAATCCAGTATGCATTAAGAATACATGTATACAAATGTAATTTACTAGTAGCCTGTAGCCCACGGGGGAAACTAATGCAACAGAAAAGGCATAGGTTAGAATTTAGCCATTTAAAAAATGCCTAGAAGGACCCATTCCTGTGATACGAAGATGAATAAAGCCAGCTTTCAATTTCTGATCTACCATTTAAACTTGGAAGGTTAATAACTACAAATGTTTTCGGGAGCAGTGTTAGAACAGCAGTCTATCTTTCCCTCAAGAGACAGACCCACATAAATACAATACTGCAGTGATAACTAGAGTACTAATACCTCTCTTCCTCCACCCAACCCTCTTCAAAAGCCCAAACTGTGGCCAGGTGTGGTGGCTCACACCTATAATCCCACCACTTTGGGAGGCTTAGGTGGGAGGACTGCTTAAGCCCAGGAGTTGGAGACCAGCCTCAGCAACACAGTGAGATTCTGTCTCTAGAAAAAAAATGTTTTTTAAGTAGCAAGGCCTGATAGTGTGCACCTGTAGCCCCAGCTACTCTGAAGGCTGAAGTGGGAGGATCACTTGAGCCCAGGAGGTCGAGGCTGCAGTGAACCATGATCACGCCATTGCATTCCAGCCTGGGCAACAACAGCAAAACTCCATCTC